TTACAACAACACATGTACATTACAACTACACATGTATAACAACACATGTACAACAACACATGTACATTACAACAACACATGTACATGTACAACACCACATCTACATTACAACTACACATGTATAACAACACATGTACAACAACACATGTACATTACAACAACACATATACATGTACAACAACACATGTACAACAACACATGTACATTACAACAACACATGTACATGTACAACAACACATATACATGTACATCATACTCAATTGCACAAACATACTTATTGTACGATACTATCAAACTACACTTAAAACACTTTTACATATTATTTAATTTACATGACATCTCGTATAATATTACAGTTATTGTATATAGTTGCGGCAGAGTATTGGACCACTGTAAACAGATGACTTCATCGAGTAGGTCTTTTCTCCTCGCAATTTAGCTCAATAAGCCAATGTGGTTTCCGGATGATACTCAGGGGAATGTATACATGTACTTGGTTCAACTTTTGTTTTACTATGCTTTAAACGTTAATTATAGGACATGCATAGCAGTTTCGCTAATATAGTATGGCCACTGTGTTATATGTATTTATACAACTATATAGTCGTCTACTTATTTATCGCAGATGACAATAATATTTTCAATGAATTTTGATTTATCTTGAATATTAATATTGATAAAACGTACATTATACTTATACAGAAATCATCGCCCGTGTAAGATACAGGGAGAATCCACCGTTTCGACCGCATTTAGCTGAAAACCATTATATTAATACAAACAGCAACGATGTAGACAACGTCAATGATGCATTGTCCGCCATGACAAACCTCATGATGTCTTGTTATGCGGAGGAGCCGGAGGACCGTCCCTGTTTCTCAACCATCAGGAATCACATATCGAAACTAAATAAGGGAAGGTAAACACGTTATCCTCTCAGTGGAAACGGGACATGCAATGGACATCAACCACAGATTTAGTTGTATATTTAGTTTGCTTTTCATTTGATATTTTAAGGTACCAAAACAACGAATATGTACATGAGATCCTCGCGCTTGTAAAATATCCTTCGTTGTTGATGACGAAGATTATTTTCAAAATAAAGATTAATTCCAAATTAACAATTAATTATCAGTCTAAAATTATTCATAAAGAAATGTTGGGTCACACTAAAAATAGCCGCCACACTCTTGTTATTGCTTGTTTTGTATTGACCACAGGAAGACGAACATTGTAGATAATATGATCACTATGTTGGAAAAGTACGCTAACAATTTGGAGCATGTCGTGGAACAGCGAACACACGCACTCCTAGACGAGAAAAAGAAAACTGACTCTTTGCTGTACAGAATGTTACCAAGGTAATCATGCATTGTGAAATGTGTATAGTTCGTGTAAAATAACAAATGATTCTTATGTGTAGACTTTCTTGTTATATCGTTTCTGATGTAAATGGGTTCAAATTACATGTAAACATAATGACGAAGCCCTAACATTTCTATTGTAATTGGGTAAAAAGTTACCTATTTAACATCTTGGCGTTTTCCTAACGTGTCACTCTAATTAGAAACAAAGTAACATGTAACAGATTGACGTAGCGAAGGAATAACCTGATTTTATATCAGCGTAAAGCTGCCTTTATGTTTGTCATCATTGTGGATATTTCTTTGTATGTCCTGTTTTTATATCAGCGTAAAGCTGCCTATATGTTTGTCGTCATTGTGGGTATTTCTTTGTATGTCTTTATTTTATTTTTATATATTTTTATATTATTATTTCCTAACACTGACTTAAATTTGCTTACAGAGTTGTGGCAGAAAGGCTCAAAGCTGGAGAAAACATCTGTCCGGAAATATTTGAATCTGTTACTATTTTCTTCTCTGACATAGTAGGGTTCACATCACTTTCCTCAAACAGTACCCCAATTCAAGTGGTGGACTTCCTTAACGATCTCTACACCAGTTTCGACATGGTTATAGCCCAATACGACGTGTACAAGGTAGGCTAACACACACCACTTAGCTCAACATCATATGTCTTGAGCAGCCTGGTACTAATTCACCAGTGTTCCACTGCATATGTTTCATTTGTCCACATGTCATAGCTTTTGTAATAGCTGAAATGTATTCAGATGTATAGATGTGAAATAGTTATAGATTATCACACTGTGTTTTAAGGGGTTTGTCGACAGAACAATTTTCTCATTACGAGCACGTGGAAAAACGAAAGGTCACCCCAGAAGCACTCGACATTTCATCCACGCGCGGCGATAAGAAAATTGAAAGAACTACAAACCCTGAATTCTTTGTGTGATTAACTGTTTATCATCTTTATACGACTACTTAAGGATTAACTTGAATATATTTTTTATGTTATGGAGATATAACCAATAACCAATCTAAATAAACAGCGCAACGGTTTATGATGAGAGTACACTTCGGTTTTTGTGTTAATAGCTCCATTACATAAAAATATATTAAAGTTAATCCTTATAGTTTAATCTACTATACACAATCCCTGTGGAAATCCATTTTTCCTTTTCTCTTAGAAATTGTTACGCCACTGTGTCAGCCAATCAAAAGCGAAGTTACAAACGGCGACGTCAATTTTTACGTTATGGGCTGATAACATATTTTTTTAAGCCAATTAAAATGCTTGTTACCAGCAAGATTAAATAACCTCATAATAACATATCTCCCTAATTACTTCTAGGCTTTATAATCATAGAGAGCCTCGGTCTGAAACAAACGTTAACAAATAGAATTTGCGTGGAGGAACACATAAACCTTAAACTATGTAGAACGATAGTGTGATGCTATCATCACAATATTCTTATCCTATTTTGATAATGATTTCCTTATAGCGGACTATTTTCTTACGCAGAACATCGTTGTTTGGATATCATTTCCAATTCAGGACGTCACCTGGCGCGAGCAGATGTTTATTTCCAAGAAAATACATTCCCAAATTTGGAAATTCATTCTCAAGTTGTTTTCAAGTCGTGCTCATTTCTTCTTGAGTATTCTCATAATCACAACTACATGAAATTGTCATTAATATATCCTTCTATCAGTAGATTGTATAAAGTAGTATACATATGATAATAAATGAACAATAACAGTTTGTTCTTGATTTTTTTGTTTCCTGTAACGAAACCCAATTGATGTAAATGACTTATAATTGATATACGCACGTCAAAAAACGGTTTGAAACTTGTACCTAGTTAAACATTGATATTAGGTAGAAACCATTGGAGATGCTTATATGGTCGTGAGTGGACTCCCTCTGAGGAATGGCAACCTTCATTCGACGGAAATAGCAAACATGGCGCTGGCTCTTCTACAGTCTGTGGATACGTTTGAAATAAAGCATCAACCGGGCATGAAATTGCAGCTAAGAATAGGCATCCATACAGGACCCTGTGCTGCCGGTGAGTATACAAACCTTATACGAAACAAATAATGAACTATTACATTTGCTCAAATGCAGTGTGTAAAACACGAATGCTGTTGTAAATTTTTATATGACTTTTGTTGGTTTCCATCATATCGTCTAGATCACATCGCTTAATATGTCTTATGAGTCGACAGTCAAATTTTCCCGATGAGTTGCGACCCACCTGAGGAACTGTGTTCCAAGGTTACAAGAAAAACGAGGAAAACAACTCGTCTGGTGGGTCTCAATTGTAACTCCGAGGGAAACTAGTTTGACTTTGGACTGACAAAGCATAACACGATTGTATTGTCAGTTGACCAACATGACCAGTCAACAGTTTATTACGTGACAAGTCGAGGGGTAGCAAAGATAAGTAATTACGTTTGGTACAAAATTAGAGAGTGCGATTAGTAATATCAGGAGGAAAACAATCAAAACTACTAAATATACAATTCCATAAAGAGTCAGGTAACATCACAGTACATGATGCAAAGTCCAGTTTCGTCATAAAATTGTATTAAATTGATTCAAATTCCAGGAGTAGTAGGCCACACCATGCCAAGATACTGTTTGTTTGGGGACACTGTCAATATGGCCTCAAGGATGGAATCAAATGGGGAAGGTAAATGTTAACAGCTTTTCTTTCTTTTCATTATCAAGTTGGGTTCTTTTCTTGAATATTTTGACTAAGATTTTCTTATAAACGCTATTCTACATAGTTCCAAAAATTCTGAATCTATAGATGTGTGTAAGTCTTCTTTCCATGCTCACTAGGAGTATACCATATAAAAACAATTACATGCATACTAATGTGTAAACATGTAATTAGATAAGTAACCCAATTTATATTTCTAACTAAAACTAAATTTTATACATTTTATAAATCTACAGATTTCATGGTTTTGTTATCAGGTCAGTATGAAATTTCGTGACTTTCAAATCTTAATAATAACTAATCGTTTTACTAACCGGTTACCTGTACGATACAGGTCGCATTACAAAGTTGTGTTGTACATATACAATACAGAAATTATAACAAGTTCTCTTTATCAACCGTAACGATCACTACGGTCGGAAACAAAATCATTGTTTGCTCACAAATCTTGTACTTAGTCGATGTAGGCTCTGCAGAAGACTTTAACTTAGGGTAGTATACCACATATCTGTCTTGTCTTGCATTCGCAGCAATCGTAACATATTGTTGATAATACAATGTTGTCCTAGCTTTTATACTACACACCCCTGTATCGTTTAGCTGAATGTATCTTAATCCTTTAAGATACATGATGAACTGAACCGTTATTTATGAAATTATTACACTGAAAATGGAGCAACTTAATATATTTAGTTTTGATTTTTGATTTTTACTTAAAGATATAATTATCTATCAGTATCCTTGTTAGTTTATTGTTATCGGGTATGTTATCATGTGACAGCTTCTGTAATTACCCGGTCTACGGATTCATCTTTAACGCACCTTTATTCCGTATCCTGATCCATATGAATTAGTAGCGCCCATACCTATATTGAATTGTTTTGTTCATACAGCACTAAGGGTTCACATGAGTAGTTCGACGTACAAGTCGCTGTGTCAACATCAGGGCTACGACATTCAGGAGAGGGGTAGCATGGAGATCAAGGTACGATTAGTATAGGATTATCAAAAAACCACATATAAGATAAACCGTGTTATTATTCACTGGCTGTTTATTTATCAAACCTTGAAACCCTTTTTATACTTTGTTTTTACAATAAATTAGTCGATTTTCTGATTATTTCTCCTATACAAGGGAATTATGTAATCAAAGGCATGTTTTGATGATCTCTGAGAAAGAAGACACGAAAACAACTAACATATCAAAAATGTGAACAGTGGTGGTTGCTCACGTACTGAAGATGTTCTACCGAATATATTTATGTGTTTAAACCAATTTTTATAGTTTAATGAATTTATTTCTAAGTTTATGATCGACCACTATTACTAAAGATAGACTTGGTTACTGGTAGGACCCCTCATTTTATAAGCTGTCCTATGGAACCCTCAAACTGAATAAAAAATACTTTTCTTAAACATTGATTGATTACGCCTTGCTTACACCAAATTAAAACTCAATTATGCAACGTCTTGTCTAAATCAAAATCAAAAATTTCCTTTATATTTTAGAAACTGATTGAATGAAGTTTTAATATGACTATTTCCAGGGGAAGGGAAAACAGACCACTTACTGGTTGCTGGGTAAGTCATGTTCGGATAGGTCGTTGAAGTCGGTTGTACCAACGACGTTCATGATGTGAAAGGCGGAGAGATGTCATTTACCTCTGTCATTCCTTTATCTTCGGACCAAAGCACGCATTTCATTGATAGAATACATCCATACTGTGGGATATAGACAGAACAAATCATAACCCGAAGGTGACATTTTTAAGTTTATAACGTGGCCTTGCAAAGTGCTTAACTTCAGAAACATTGTATCCCTGAGGGTTATAAACTGCGTCATCACTGGGCGCATGGAAAGTGTGACAAAAGTGACGACACTATAGTACCCTGGTTACACTGCATAAAGTGATGACGCGATGATGACGTTTTCTGAGTGATAACGTGTTTAATCCGTATCTAGGTAAAGGAAGACAGGTTTGTCTTTTCCCTAGTCAAACTTGAAATGTACCTGTGAAGTGTGTGAGAAACAAAATCTGACAGTGTAATATTTGATCGGAATGTTTTATAGTTCACCATGTTAAAGCACAACTCCTGAACTACTTGTAATAAGTTCTTGTCTTTGCTTTGTTTCAGGAATTAATGATGCGAGTATTGTATACTACTGTTGCGTTCTAAACATACCGAAAATAAATTACAAAAATGCTTACCTGCAGAAAGAAGATATTCTGTAGATAAGTAATTATTACTGACATAAATTTGTAAAGAACGTATTTTTAGTTTTTACAACGTAAGTTTTATTCGTCGTTAGATATGTGACTCAATCAAATGAAGTGTACGGTAGACATTAATCAAACACGATAAAATGTCTTTTCCTGTTGATACTGTAATATTGAGTATGGTGTATAGTGATGACCTAATATCAGAGGTAGTTAAATTATAGAGGTTATATATTACGTAATCATACATTAAATTATACATTTTATACAACGTACAACAGTCACATGTGAAGAAAGAAATGCTTGAAGCTACATTTCTACATAACATACAGCCAAAATAAATACTCCAATAGGATGCGATTCCCAAAAGATACATTTACCAAAAGATGCAATACAATATCAGCCCAATTTGCACTCGCCAGGCACCGAAAATGCTTGTCCGCTTGGTGGCGTTCCACTCGATCGGAATAAATGTTACACCGGTAGGCTACCCAAATGAAGCAGGCTCAGTGTTTTTACGTAGAAGTGATATCAGCTTGATTTAATGTTAAGTTAAATGTATCCATCAGAATAATTATCATCGTATCAGATTAAATGATTTCTTATAATATGAAGATCAATTTGGAATTGTCGATTCTAGTTTTAGATACCCGTTTGGAATAATATCGATCTTTTCATTCCAGAAACAATGTATGTATGATTTTTTTGGTAAAGTTTTACATATTCTAAAGGAATATATTGATCAGATTTAACACAAATAGCAACGAAAAAGTTGCTGATAACGGTAAATGATTACATGGAATAAAAATACCCGAAGGAGTAAGATGTTAAGGTCTTAAAGAAACGAGGCAATTTACCTTCATCGTATAAAATATACCTTCAGAAGAAAAACTCTACTGGTCCCCATATCTTCATAAGACAGACACTACAAGTCCCATAACTTTCATCAAAATGATTCCGATTCCCCAAACCTTTATCAGGGAGACACTAGTGGTACCAACTCCTTTGTCAGATATACACAATTGATCGTTGCAGTTTAAGGTATTTTTAACACCTATGTACCATTACAGGTCGGGATACTGAAGAGGAAAACCCCCAGAAAACACTTTATTTCAGTATATAGAATAAATAATATGTAATGTGGAATTAAACGTTTTACCCCACCTTATAAATGGTGTAAAGGTAAATAGTACATGTCACGTAATACATAACAGGAAAGGCATGGTGTACAATAAAAGGCGGAGTTATCGCCCTTATTCCGTCTTTGCATATTGCAGAGTTATCTGCTCTTGTGAGTAGGTATTGATTGTTACGTCATTGGTCAGAAGTTCTGCCTTCAGTGTGGTTCGGCGGTGAATTGCGGATATTAAGTAAAAATGATATATCGATATCGGAGAGGGGCATTGTCAGGTGGATACAGGGTTTTCAATCTAGAAAGTACACATTCTCCTTGATTGGACATCAACCAAATCCTACAATGTATATAGACGTTAGAAAATCACTGCTCCAGGGCAGAGATTAGGTCCTTTAGACACCGATGTTTTGATGCACCAGACATTCATTCATAGATGCTTCATATGCATGAGAAATAAAAACATTAAAGTTTGTGTTGTACTGGATATTGCACGTTTGCTGAAATAATACAATCTGTATCTAATTGTATTGTCATTTATTCCGTCTTTTCGTATTGCAGAGTAATCTGCTCTTGTGAGCAGGTATTGATTGTTCGTCATTTATTTGTGAGAGTAGCGTCATATTTTTTTGAGAAAACGACGTAATTTTCTTACACAAACTAATGACGTCGCAATTAATACCTACTCACAAGATCAGATAACTCTGCAATACGAATAAACGGAATATATTGAAGGAGGATTGTTTCCGGGTAAAAATTATGTTGAGAAATCAAAAGTATCCAAGTGATTTTTTGTTTTGCAATTTAGTAATATGAAGAAAATGTATGGAAAAAGTATAAAAGATTTTGAGAGATGTTTTAGCCGTTATGATATTACATAATAGCCTTTATTCAATACCATACAGTAATGTGGTTAAAGAAGCAGAACTACGTCATTGTTGCGGAATGCGTGATAAATACGTAGTAACGTATCCTGCTATATAATGGATACTGTACAAAAATTGATAATATCACAGATGATATAATTTAAGTAATAGTGGAGACATGTTATTGTGTATATTTTTACAAGTTATCCCTCGCCATGAATATGCTGATCTTTTGATTGTTCAAAAATTGGGTTGCTAGTAATCGAATGAAGAGTATGGACTTTACACAATGCATTCAGTTACAGTTATGAAAAGAAATTGTAAAACAGCACTGAAACGTAAGGTATGTCCCTATACCTCATATCATTTCATATTTAATTTTATATGTGTTCTTGAGTATTATTTGTAATATGTTCAAATGTGTATGTGTTATTATGTTTTCTTCGCCGTTACTCATCATTTATGGAAGAAATAAAGGAAGATTATAAAATGATGTCATAATGTATTACATTATTTCCTGATGACTTTACTGCGACATGTGACTAAATATAATGGATGTACAAATGTACCTGTTACTAAAGAAAACATAACCATTTCCCCATCACATCTAATTTTAACAAAGATTTTACCGTGTAAAGTGAGATGCTGTTGATGATATTATGAAGAAGCAGCGAAATGGTGGTCAAAGTAGTCAAAACTTCTTGAAAAAAATGTGTATTAATCAATAAACAGATATCAGCTGTTTGTGGCATGTCACTTACATTAGTCGATTGTCCAGTTTATTTGCATACTTAATGTATCCCATTTAAGAATAAACTAGATATTTAAGTATTCTGAACAAATATTGCATATTGAATATTAAAAGAAACAAAAATTTCTACCTCTGCGCTTTTACATTTATAATTCAAGTCAGATCATGTGTCCATTGATAAACCCTTACATCGTTATAAGAATCCTCATGATATGTTTTAAATCTAATCTATCCAGACATACAAACAACTCCTGATCAGAAGGTTTTTATTCATTTGTTTTTTGTTATTATGAAATTACTAGACAATACTGTTTATAAAATGTAAAAAAAAAAAATAAGTTTAAACTGTAAACACGTCTTGTCATTTTACGATGTAAAAGCCTCGTGCCCTCTTGTCGATTATTGTGTATAGCATATTAGCCATATACCTACAGAGGAATGAAAATCTAACTTCATAAAATTATAATTACACTTTGTATTATTAACAGACGACAGTGTGTGCTAGGAATGGGTAAGTATCGGATACTTCAGAACATCCGTGTGCTTGTGGCATGAGCTATAGAATATTCAAGTACGGGGAGAGTTACGTTATTACGATGTTTGTGATTTGCATGCCCAAATAACCATAATGAGCCCCGAGCATTAACGAATCATCCAGAGAATAAACAGAAGAATACCAGTCCACTTAATAACGCATCACCCGGTACATATTTCATTTTACTTGACGGGCTTTTTTAACAAATTACAGCCATGTTGCATTAGTGTTCGAGTGTACGTGTACATGTAGTTCTCTCCTAGAAGTTAAATCTGTAACCTGCGACCTGTGCTGATTAAGATGTTAGTTGCTTTGTACTTCGCCTAAGTGGTCTGTCTATACCTTTATCGTCAATCATACAATTTTACTTCATTGTTTTTCTTTGTTCCATTAATTAACATGTCATCACTTTGAAAGCTTTCAACATCGTTTTGAAATGCATCCTCGATATCCAGGGGCTACGCTTACTTTCGCTCTCTACACCCCTGGCATCATCCTCGATATCCAGGGCCTACACTTACTTTCGCTCTCTACACCCCTGGAATCATCCTCGATATCCAGGGGCTACACTTACTTTCGCTCTCTACATCCCTGGAATCATCCTCGATATCCAGGGTCTACACTAACTTTCGCTCTCTACACCCCTGGAATCATCCTCGATATCCAGGGGCTACGCTTACTTTCGCTCTCTTCACCCCTGGAATCATCCTCGATATCCAGGGTCTACACTAACTTTCGCTCTCTACACCGCTGGAATCATCCTCGATATCCAGGGGCTACACTTACCCTGGAATCATCCTCGATATCCAGGGACTACGCTTACTTTCGCTCTCTACACCCCTGGAATATGTCATAGCAAAATTGAAGGCACGAAGATAGCGGTTTGATTGGTCTCGGGTAACAAAAATCTGACCAATCGCTAGGCTGATACCTGTCTTTTGAAGATTACAAAGGAGCAACACTCGACTTCAAAGCCTGTCAATTGTTACGTGACCGCGAGATTCTTTTGATGTGTTTTAATATATCGAAATAGTCTTCTTGTATCATCAACAAGGTTCCTCACGCTGAGCCTGACATATTCCAGGGGTGCAAAAAGCGAAAGTGAGCGAAACCCCTGGATATCGAGGATGGTTGAAGGCTGGGCTGATCCATACCAAAGGTTAACCATACAAGTTCCAAAAATCTGTACTATCATTAAGTTATACAGTTCGTTAACATTATGATTTCATGCCTGAATGAAAATAGTTCATGCTACAGACAATCAAATGCCTCGACGTTCTTAACTTCATTATCAGGGCATACTTTAAACGGTAATTCAGTCTTACCCACAACTGTATCCACTAATTAAAAAAAGTAAATGTATTTAAGTAGGAGAAAAGATTCAAACTCAGTATGAGAATAAACAGCTTTCTGTCTTTTCAAGCTGCTTTACATATAACAAACCCCAATCAATTGGCCAACCTAAATCACTGCTAATCGTGGTTGAATTATATAGCTTCTAGGAAAAACCACCAGTAGTATATCTTAACACCTGTAACTATCAGTGATGTTCCAATATATTAGCATAGACCACTGGTAAATTCAAATTGTATTTTATATGTAATAGAACCTGGCTAGAAATCATCGATTTCTGCTAAAATGTGTTGGCTAAAAGATTGTAATTTTATAGCTATCTATATACTGCACACTAGATCAATAAAATGTACCGCTACAACCTAATAATGGCCAACTACAGATAAATAACTCCACTGGTTTTACATTTTACTATATGATTTACAAAGAGAACGCTGAATGATATCGAAACTCGTGTTTTGATAATGTATGATATCCGGTTTACGCCATCACCGTTGCGGTTTCGCTAACTAACATTCATTCGAAGGGGGATAACTCTCAAATAAATAAACAAAGTCACGTTTCTTTCACGTTTTCTGCATACAAGGACATAACTATTCAGATGCAGGGATGCAGGACAGTGTAAATTCCTAGCTGTTTCACCTTATCCTAAAGAAGCTTTACCAAGGAGGAATACAGGTATGACACTAGAAAACACATCATTGATTAGGCAGGCTATACACAGCCCAAAGTGTCGGACACCGATACGTGTTTGGTGATTATTCTAAGTATAACATGTTTAAACCCCTACCGTGGTGCCAGATGTGTATAGAGTACATGTAAATCATACATATGAACAGCGTTGTATCATTTGAATACATCTTAATTCAGGTGAATGAATAGCCCGGAGCTCTTATAATAGCTCAAATATAGTATGCACATATACACAGTCTAAGTTATTTTACAACTTTGTGTAGCTAGCATCTGTTCATGTAATTGGATTTTTGACCGAGACTAGGGCCTACACCGAGGTAGTACACTGGCTCCAAGATATACGAGAGGATGGCGGGATCGCCTGTAAAATAACGACATGGTAATGTATAAACGGGGACGATTATCAGATAAGAATGTCGGTGAAATTCCTTTGTAAATAAGGTAGAGTGTTTCTTGATATTTCACTTTCGTTTAGAACGACAGTGCACTATACATTCGTTTGATTTACTGCGCAGTGGGTATGTAGTGTGTTTTACTTGCAACATTTCCTGGGCGTTTCTGTCAGGTTAGCTTTGTAATTATCTAAGCCATGTAGCATGTCATGTTGTCCATTGTATCCCCGTTCTATGAGCCTGTGAATCTACAGGAAGCAGCCAGGTCAAAGGCCCTTCAGAGCTGAACATTGCCGCTTCTTACTTTTTTTTTTATTATTTTACACATAATGTCCACTCTTATTTTGATATTGACTTGATATTCCCGAAAAAATATTCCCATCATTTTCTGTATGTATTCTTACTTTCATTTGCATTAGCTCAGCAAATAACTGATGGGATGTTCCATTGTTTCTTATAATGAACTATTGGTTTATAAAGCAAGTGGGTTAATGAGTCGTATACATGTTGGTTCTCATTATTAGTCTCATCTACCATTAGTGACCCGTGTGTAATACAAATACAGTGACATGGCTGTGTGTCAGTGGGGTATTTAACTGAACTATTGATAACTTTACATGCCGGTACATTAGTACTTCCCTTGGTTCGATGGGACGGCAGTCTGATGTGGTGTAGGATCAGCTTACTGTTATGTTGTCTCTAAGTTTTGAGTTTGTTATTTTGTGTTATGGATAGGGTATTATTTTCGTGGTATTTTCTATATATATGCTGGAGCCTGGCACGACAACTAAACCTTTAAACACACTTAGTCGGTGGACACTTCCCGGGAAAACGAGTGTACAAGTGGTTATGATGAGTCTAACAGCGTTAATAAGTGTACAAGATCTGGGGTCAGATTACACAATGACAAACAATACGGCCGCTCATGTGATGTGTAAGTAATTTTTCTCCCTTCATACTTGCATGCACACTGGAAAAATCCAGATACAAATCCTGATATAAGATCTGGGGTCAGATTTTTCAATGACAAACAATAACAAAGACATTATATAGGGGAGTAAACCCTAAATCAGGACTGGGCCAAATCTGTTCTAAAGATATATATTACGCCACGATTTTTCACCGCCATCCCGATCATAAAGGGTAATATGTTTTGACTAGCACCAGTCCAGAGTTTTCTCTCTGACATACATAGTACTTACCGTTTACAACTGATGCCAGTGTCTCCTGTACATACCTTTAGTTTACCTATCGTCCTTATTTTCCCTGCTGCCCCTACAACAAATCATCATATTTAAATGAGAACGAGAGGCTATAGTTAACAGGGCTAGTAATTCAAGTGAAAAAAGTCCGTTCGTTTCTGAATTTAGATCTGATAATAAATGACTGCTACTAGAAACTGAAAAAAACGTATTGTCATCAGTTAGATACACTTAGCCTACCAACCGGAATGTCTCCTGTAGCTTCCTTAGGGCGACACACAGGACTAAACGTGGTGATACCAATGGTCACTTAATTAGGGTCAAGATAGCGATAATAGTTCTATATTGATGGGTGTCACTCGGTACAAAGGTCAACAATGCCAAACGGTGAGATAGGTAAGATATATGGGTGTTTCTGGAACTTAAAGGGTAACCGGTCAGATGTATTAGACGCTACGTGTCTATTCTATAGAATACCATAATACAGTCTAGAATGAGGCTTCTGATAGGTCTATAGCATTTAATTACATATTACTTGGGTTTTTTCTTCAAATTTACACTTAGTCATTCTACTAATAGACTAATCTTGATTAGGTGGAGGTAAGTGGGTATCCATAAATTCGCACAATTAATGATGTTTTTATTAAAATCCTACCGGTGAAATAGGGGGAGTTCAACGTGAATAAAACTTAATATGATGATTGTGTATGCAGAAAATTCCACGTGAAATACTCAATTTAATTATTAAAATACAACTCCTCATTATACTATCCTTCTACTATCACTAATCAGATTGAATAAGCCGACATAAGAACATTCAACAAAATATGTTACCCTATATACTCAACATCATTTTATTAAGCTTTTGAAACAATATAAGTTATAAATTCACAGCTTGTTACCACCTCTATCCAAGAGTCCCACGATGTTGTCTCCGTCCATCAAACCCTCTGTGGTGTCCTGTAGTCTGTGTTTGACTTCATTGTCATTTTTGAGATATTGGGTCAGCTATGTATGACCGAGCTGTCACACGTGGTGATCCAATACTGCATTGTTATCAACATTTCTAACACAATATCAGAGTGATCAGCAGATAACTATTTTTCCAAATGCAGTCGAAATGTTGCATTAATTTTCAATGAATCGAATGAACGAGAATCGTTTTGTTTAAAAACATGTTGTTGTTTTTTTTATTTTATGACACGTTGTTAATATATGTAATTAATCAGTTCAAAGGTCGATCAGGATTGCACGCTCTGGTAAAAGGCCGAACGTTTATTTATAAATAACTGCGTTCTCTGACAATGGGTATGCCATGGCCAGGCCACACTTATTTTTATACATAAAGAACACATGTTTGATCCAAAAAGGAAACTATCATTTTACCGAAATATTTGTAGAGGCAAAACACTTAAGATTTTATCAATATCCTGTAATAACATATCGTTTTTGTTCCAGGGCCAGGTTGTACTTGACCAGTAGGCTATGATATCAGACATCACCAGAGGAGTGTTCAACAGTACTAACTTCTACAAAGTGTTCGTGAAGGTGAACCTCTGGTTCTGTACAATTAATCATGATCCAAGTCGACAAGTGGACGGCAGTCAACACACCAACAATACATCATTATGGGATGTCGGAAACGAATTTCTATCGGAAGCCATACAATATATGTTTTCCGCCAACAAGGCGGTGTCTGTGGACAGGCCACGCCCTAGTGACGACGGCACATACTGCGAGAAGAAGTTCGACTCTATAAATGAACATCGAGTACCTGTTGCTCTACTACTAGCCGTTCTCATAGCAACTGTATGCGTCGTGTTTACTTCATTGTTTATTTTCATATGTTGGCGAGTGAGAAGGAATCGGTTTAGAAGTAACAAGGTTGTAACTATTGTTGACTTTAAACCGACCGACGAGGACCAGCAAAGTACCACAGTTTTGACTGACGACTCGCACAATGAAAATGACCGATATCAGACCAAATGTGAATTATATGACGAGTATCGAACTGGAAAATTCAAAGGAATTCTTTTAGTATTTCCAACGTACATCCAGCCACGGAAAAATGGTGGGAATTTGCATTCTTCAGAATCTGAGATTAGTTGGTTTCTAAAAAACAGTGTAGACTATGTGTTTTCTGAGTTGGACAAATACTTACTCGACAGAGCTTCTCTAAACTCCCCTACTTCTAATGGACCAAGTACGTCACTGGCTGACCACATGACGTCACCACGGTTGACCACGCGCAGAGTTGTGCCTCGTTCGCGCCAGGGTAGGGGGAGTTCACCACAGTTAACCCAGCATGATCGCGTTGACGAGCCGAGTGAACGAAGAGCATGGCAAGAATTCCAACAGAAGGTCATTCCACTTGGGAAGTTTCCTTACCACAACGACGCTTACCGGAACACGGATAAGATCGCAGACACCAAAGTCCGAAATCTGATCCAGTTCTACAATGCACAGTGTGTCGTGCGTTTTGAACAATGGAATGGGGCATGTCTGATAGCAAACTACACGTTGATTCTTCTGGAAAAGGCGATGAAAACGTTAAACATTGACGCAAGCGGGATGAGTTTCAACAGACTCGAGATGACAGGAAGCATCATGAAAGGCTTGAAGTCCTCCACTGCTGGCCAATTTGACGTATTGATGATCTTTCAAGGTTGTGGATTTAAAGTAGCTCAAGCTCTCGATCAAATAAGTAGCACCAACATACCACCTGGTAAATTAGTTCTAACGGCTGAACAAACACGCGATCAACCAAACGAATGTCTGAAAAACTGCAATCTGGACAATGACAATTTTCTCTGTGTGTCTTCAGAAGAACTTGTGAGTGTTACAGAAAGTATGTTAGACAAGGGAATACAGAAAATATACACCGAGACACGTTCCCTCATTGACAGACTTCCGTTCCGAATACAGAGATCTGCTACAGCTTCCTTAACACTGTCGCTAGATACCAGGAATGTAGTCGGCCTGAACCTTCCAGAAATCAAGCTCCAGATAATTCCAGCCATCCCTCTTCACGCCGGAGGCTGGTACCAGCTTTCGACAGTCTACGCCGTTCCGCCATGGCACGTTCAGGATGTAAAGAGAAAGGCGCTATCTAGGGGCGGAGGAGCCAATCAAGCGTGTTCACATGATCTATTGTGGAGTCTCTCTCTGGGTGAACTTGAAAAAGCTTTCTTCGGTGGCTTTGATAAGAAGATGGAAACAGCCGGAGTGACGAGCTGCCATATCATCTGTTTGACGATCTTGAAGACACTGTTCACAAGTGTGACGCGACGATCTCTACTGGATCGAGGAGAAATCAACTCATACATACTAGAAACTGTTATATCATTTCTTCTACTAGAAAGTTTACCGAGTGACTGGACTCTAGACAAGTTGGCTGATCGGTTCTCAGACTCAATCCACTTTTTACGATCTGCTATGGAACACGGGAGGTTGCCAAACTTTTTCCTTCATAACCCACACCTGTTAAAACAGATGCCGGCTTTAAAGACATACCCCTTCCTCACAAAAGGACGCCAAGAGAATCTCTTAGCCGACAGCAGACAGGATACCACAGAGAAAACATTCAAGTTTATGAATCATAGACTAAAAGAAATGAAGATGGAGGATTGTGTCAAGGGAGACTACTCCGAGGAACTGTGGGAATACGAATTCTTTGTGTTCAACTAAACACCTGTCCTTTTAAATAACCGTCAATGTTATTTTATAACACAAGCATTCGAGGATACAGTGACATGTGTATTATCCGACAACTTGTGGTTCAATACATTGGTGCAGGCCTTATTTGGTAGTTTTTATAAAAATCTATTATAGCATTAAGTTGAGCAAGACAGTATATCGGAATATTCGGGGCTCAGATTAAACAAATGTTGCGATTTTACTTTAATATACTAATTCTTTGATAGAAATATTTACTGCTATGATTGAACTTGAGTCGATGTATGCTGTTTATCCGTTGGAACCACGAAGTTCACCATAAGCAAATACAAAACGTACGATATATCGCACTGTAGTAGTCGCTGAACCGTAAAAGTATACCAATAGACCGTGACAGCAATATAAATGTACCTTTTACCAGATAACTCTGCGTCTAAGTTGTATAACCGTGTCATACAAGGGTCTTCTACACAGAGTAGAGATTTTACTTTTAAATTGAAAGACTACTTATAAGTAATGTCGCAATTTGTAACTGAAAAACACGATCAAGTTCCAATGATCAGTGTACTATAGGAACGCAGTTCAAACACAGGTAAAACTGGTCATTATAAATGTAGACGAAAAAGATAAATATTCAATTTATTTAGAAATGTTTAAACTTTAAAAAAGGAACACGAGAAAAAAATTTCCATAGGGTTTTGGCATCAACTTGATACGCTATTTGTTTATTTGTTTTTCAAAATGTTGCTTTCTTTTCAGAATTTGTTGTATTGTAGACAAACAAATAATACACACACAAGGCTTTATATCATTATCATCACTTACGCCAACATTAAAAAGCAAAAAAAAAGTTTTAATATATTTAAATATAATTATAATAGTATAAAACATTTCAGTTAGCGCCTCATTAAGCTACATATTACTTGTGTTATACCACTAAGCTTTCTGCAATTGCTGTTAACTATTCATTTGTTTTAAAGATCTACAATGGTTTACAAATAATAGTTTTGATATTAGTATATTTACGAATGTGCCATATTGCATTTTCAGCTAAAATATAATCATCTCAGTGAAATTATATTGCTAATCTTGAATGTGTTAAGTTTTTATGTAACTATCTTTTCCGTGTGTTATTGCATTATCATATTACGTGGGTACTATTTTCAGTCTTTGAAAAAGGCACCAGTAAATTTTATCAGTTCTATACATTGTATTTGATGCTTTTACGAGAATTCCATTTGAAAAGTTCTCCTAAATGTGTGTAGCTTTCTTGTACTGTATGTGTACCATTTGCTTGATAGTTGTCAAGGCTATACGTGTAACTAACAAGCATATTAAACACCGAAGTATATTTCTACGTAATCTTATTTACATCATTAACTTACAAGGGGAGGTCACTCTGATATATCTGATGAGTTGGGCTCTGACCTAACGTTACGGGAGTAGTAAACTCGGCCGTTTTCGATTGTATTTTTGGTGTTTTTCTAGTCATAAATAACTTTCATACACGGAGTTAAAATAGCGTTATTTATTGCTACCATTAGTATGTGATGTTAAAGCTAGTCTAAAGCCCGGTGTAGCAATACTTACCAGAAGCATGAGCACTCTTCCGCGATAACTTTGAGTGATGAATCTGTCCTTCTTTAAATTGAATATGTGATAAACCTCATTGAGATCAGAATGGTGTAAAGAACAAGTAGGTATGGCGAATACATTTTCGAAATACTTTGTGTGAAATATATAGACTGTGCACATTTTGCATCGATATTAATGCAGTGTACGTTTGATGGTTGAAAACAAACCCAAGTCTAGTGTATCTAACTTAGAGTCCATCATGGTATGTCATTTCCTCCCGTTTATTACATACATGTATATAACACGGGTCCCGTAATGCTTACGTTCCCTTTTGTGATATACATGGCGAGTAAACATTCAATATTTATGTTTTGTTGTTATAATATTGCAATAATATATGTGATATATAACAGATGAACAATGGACGCAATATTCTATATTTTAACGTATGTCCCATGAACAAGGGCGGATCCAGAAATTCGAAGGGAAGGGGGGCTTTTTGGGAGTATCCTGATTTTACACAACGAACAGGAATATTGATGAACATCTGTTTATGTGTCTTGACATATATACTAAATACACATTCCGGGCTATGATTTTTTTTCTATGTTTAATCTTTTTCTCTTTTATATATATATTTTTTTAAATTACATTATGTATGTCAAAAATACCGAGTATCCGTACCCCACCCCTCTGGATCCACCCTTGATTTAGTTTCATACGTATGTACTCAATGTGTTTCACAATTACAGAGATGTACATACAACTAGTTTCTTCTGATCAGACTGATGATATTGACTTTAGCCAAGTTGGGTACTACATTTCGATGGTTATTCAATCTATGTATAACAAACACATCAATCATCTTTTATTAAAGTAAATAAATTTTATCGCAAGCAGAGGAAGATTTCGTGAATTTCAGTTGAAGCTCATGAAAATTCGCCACTCAGTATTAATATTGCTTAGTCAAGATTGTAAATTGGTGAAGTAATGACGCTTCATTTCGGATATGACGACATTGTTATCAATTTCGACATAAGAGAATGTGATACGGACTTATATAATCGAACTCGATGCTAGGTCACGTCACTCAGCTTTACAATGTTGATATATACTTGCCGAGTGTATTGTATTAAATTTAAATATCTGAAGATCATTATATTTCATTGTCTGCTTAACTTGGATGTTAAGTCATGGTTAGTGCCAATTTGCTTTATCCGTTATATTTTAAATAGTAATATTAAAAAGAGAGTGCTATGATTGCTGCGTTCTGTTGTCATTGTTGCGTTTTGTTGTCATTGTTGTGTTAAAACAAACAAGGGAGACAACCTCGACATCTGTGTTCTTCCTTTTCTCTCCTACTTCAGACTGTTGTCTCCCTGGCTACCCGTATTCATGTAACCTCTGTTACGATGGCGCTAACCCTGAAACAAAGCAAAGCAATTAATATTATTAACGTACTTTTAACGTTGTCGCGGACGACGTTCCAAATTCGAGTGATGATACATTAAGCTTTCTCTACAGCATACATAGCGAAAAGTGGTAATCAATTAAATCGTGATCCGTTAATCCAGAAAACTCGACACTTGAAAATAATATCCGAATTATGGCGGTTCTACAACTGACACGTGTAAATGATGTCCGGATTACTGAGGTTCTACTGTAGCTACACGCGTATTCCGGATTATCGAGGTTGTACTACAGCCGACATGGGATATTTTTTTTTTACCGATTATCGAGGTAGTACTGTAAATCGATAGTCCAGCACACGTGCATGTATGAGTAGATAAGTTATATACAGGTACTGGGTCCATATACACTACGTTTTACACGTCCGCGTGTGGTCCGCTATACTGTACAAGTTAATGAAGATATGTCTATAATCTGATAATGAAGACGTGGTTCAACTCCCTTATGAGTGATACACTCTACCAGTGTGTTATCATCCATAGCTTCTATCGATTTAATTTAAACTTAAAGGTAAAGGCACCGACTACAATATGAAAACACGTGATTGTATGGATTGTAAACGTATACGCTCGAAATAGACTGCTGAACTGGACCGTCGCCTGTGCTTTAGAACTAACATGTCTTTATCGTGGCGAAGATAAAAGTACTTTGTTAGTTTTCAATGTATTTTTGTTTAAATGAAGAGGAATCTTTCTAAAATAAATTTGAATATTTTTTAGTTGTTATTCCGAAAAATCCAGAAAAATTACAAGATGATATAAAGGGTGTTTCGGAAACAACCAAATTGCTCACATAACCAAAGTGATGAATAGGTCCGAAACTCCTATCGGAACGTTAGCTTACCGAAACTGGTTTGATCCTTTCCTCTATATCTTGTCTAACACTGTAGGTAAGCTTACCATACTTTCTATACTATACAGTGCATGATACAAACGCATCACAACTGATCGCTTTAACCAATAACACCTGCGTGTAGATACCCAGAGACACCGCCTACAACGAGGGTTTGGATTTAATACACCAATCAATACCGAACCTCTATCAAACGTATGCTATATTATATACATAGGAAAACTTCCCTGGACTGGTTAGTGAGTTTAGATTTAAGTTTAGAATAAATGCAAAAATGTGGTATTCTGGCGTACAGACATGTGGGCCTTTTCCGCCTTATTGTGTTAACTTATCTTGTCATGCCAGCTTCTGTGTGAAGATTGGGTGTCCTGGTATCAGCCACAATCGCTCCTCACAGATAACTAAGATAGTAATATTTCCCTGTGGATAGGGATAAGGAGAGAAACTACGTATTGACGAACTCTTAGTATTACTGAGGTTTCACGATCATGGAGAAATTATCAGACTTTAGGGGGGATGCTACATTGTACCTTATACATTTGTCAGTGACCTGCTGCTCAAGATAGTTACATACTGGGATATATATATACAGGTACATGTATATACTATTTATGACGGTAGACTTGGTAAAAGTTTTATGAAAGCTAACCAATTATTTCTGAATATATAACGCTGAATTTTCTTTATAGGAAATAATTAAGTTACATGTATATAAAAAAATTGTAAAGCAGCATATATATCCTTAATCTGGTTGTACTTAATATACGTGCAAGATTGCTTTAGTCATACTTTAAAATTCGATAAATAAGCTAGTGTTTTGGATGAGGTTTTTTTTTCTGTTTGTACAAAGAATTTCTGTTTCCTTGAAAATGAAAGAGGTTCTTTTAAATCACGTTTTTCTTTCAAAAATATTTTGCGCGTTCATAGATACGACCTTGGCAAGCTCCATGCTGTAAACAACACACTGAAAACGTACGGAATCACTGGCGACGAAGAAAATACGATAAAGAATTATATCATTATTATTGGATTTTATTGTTTACGGAATTCGATATCCTACACATAGAGTCAGCCTTAGAGTATTACACCAAAGGTAGATCTTATCAACGAGGTCGACAGAGAATCTGTTACGGTGCTTAAACAGAACATTGGGTGATGAAAAACTCCATGGTGAAAACTACAATGGTACACTATATACATACATATTAGATAATACGGGGCACTAACATTGTTTACGTACTCATAACAAAAAGCACATATAATACATATACATAGTACCCGGCGGCCCGTCACCCGATAGGCTAGGATACAGAGTAGATTTGTGCTAACTCTACAGATAAGCTTTTTAGGAATGTAAGAACAAAACATATTCATGACGAAAAAATCTCAAGATTTCAAGATTTAATTTGCTCCCAGACACATTAAAATTCTCCTTCTTCTTCTAATAATCTGCATACCACCTCTGGTGTATTGTCGCATGTATAGAACAATCACAAGAAAACATAGGAAAACTTACTATAGGGAAAAGTGTCAATATAATATTTAATGTTTCTTTTTGGACAAATAAGCTAATTTTCATCATATCACTATCCGAGTAAATATTGTTATTATTCTTATATCTTTCGGAAACAGGCAAGTTGACAGTTGTATAAATCCGTCTCCCGGTGATAACCTTACGCGCTACCCGATTGATTCACGTTACTTGTACGCGTTCGAACTTTTTTTTATGTTTCATAAACGAAGGCCAAACAACAGATGGGTTTTGACCCACAGCCAACACTGCTGGCTCATGACGTACCGCCGATGGGCACGTGCGCTTGTAAAACCGGACACAACTTGGTATGCCTGGATTAACAACTAAAGCATGTATTTTATGGTATTGTCGCGAATAATAAAATATAAAGTAACACATATTTCAACTTTAATGGCAGATAGTTTCATCCATATTCCATATGCTAGTGGAATTGGGTTAGGTTTCCGGAAGTTAAGTGAGAGCACTGACAAGCGGTATGAATATAGTTTGCTGCTTCTTTAAGTTTTGAACACCTAAATACCATCCTTGGAATTCATGGTACAAAACTGCCTACACATTGCCGTTCATTAGTGTGTCATATTTCACGTCAGAATCTGCATCTGAAGGTAAAGGCCATGATTTAAATGAGAAAACTGCAAATGGCGAACAGTTACAAAGTGTTAAAATTACCGCAGCTACAGCAACATCGAAATAAATCTAAATGAGCATAATAATGATACAATACTAACACAATCTTAACACAACATATCGCGCTCCTAACCTGTAAACTGGTGAAGGCTCGTTTTGATAGATGCCATAAGTGTAGATCTAAGCGTTTCTGTATTACACTATAAAGGAAAGCTCCCAGAACATGTATTACATTGCTCTTGAGCACTTTTGTAACATATTTTTTATGCAACTATTTGTCATAAACCGAAACACCCGTGTAAGAATCTGAACACCAGAGATTAAACACCTTAAATGGACAGGTGTATACTATACGCTTCTGTAGTATACCGAGATGCCGAAAAGTATGAAGCCTGATTTAGAAGAAATGAGAGTGAATAAAATTACACAACGTTAGAAATTTCAACTTCCACTGAACCCCGTTACAGCGTCAGCCAGAGTGTTTTATTACCCTCATTATGTCAACCCGGTCCGTCAACAATGGAGGGTAACCTGTAGAACTCGTTAACCTTCTCTTGACCAGGTAAGTATTACGTGTAGTGATTTTGCGGCGGCGGACCTCTAAATGTACCATTGTGTCCGTACTTACCTGTGGTATTAAACAGGTATATACTTCAAGCTGTGACCGATACGCAAAAAAACTGTCCAATCAGATACCTTCATAGCCGTTGTTCCGAACGTTGACTTTTAAATCATTGTGTAGCGATACCGCGCCTGCTTAGTAGACATCTACAGTGTACCCGGCATTAAGCAGACGACCTATACACATTGGTAGGGAAAGGCTGTAAAACACAAGGTAAAATTGATTGATAATGGATGAAGATTCGAATTCATGGCAGCACAGGTGCGAACGCTACTTTACATCAATATCAGAATCCGACGAAAGGAGAGGAGGGGGCGGAGGAGGCGGATATAACCGAATCCAAGAAGGTCCAAACATGGAATGGAAACATCTAAATGGATTAGCAAACGATGCAAAGAAGCGGTCGTCTGGCTTTTCCCGCGCAAAACGGTGGATGAGACAGTTAGACATTCACGGTTGCGGCCGTGTCGGATACGCATCAATCTTCGAAAGTGTGATTTGGATTGTTATTTCTGTTTTAGCATTCGGTGCCTTGACTTATGCCGTGTATTTATATGCAATGATTTACCTACAAACATCTCAGTTCAAAACCTTGTCATATACCATTCCACCATTTTCATCATCATCTCCAAACATAACAATATGCAATAACAACATACTTCGAAAATCAGCATTACAACGCTCTCAGAATCGTTTTCAAGGATTGCTAAATGTTTCCGCAAAGACAAATAAAATTCTACAACAGAGACAACAGACTTTGACAGCAAAGGAGCTATTAGAAAGGACAACTTTGTATGACAATTTGACCGATCTTCTGAAGAATTCCGAGCTGGCATCTCTCTATAGTGAGCTCGAGGAGGAATATTTACCCTATTCGTACATGTCCTCCCCGGATGATTACGGATCGCTGTACCTGTGGGGGTTACGGGAGGGTGTGGAGATTCTCAGAGAGGTGGTTACCCCTACCAAGTCAGAGTTACTGACTTACGGTCATCAGAAAGTTCAGTTGATTGTTCATTGCTGGGCAGACGGGAAAAACTGCAACAAAAACAGGTAAACTAGACAATAAATGTATAATTATCGTTAATCACTTCATATTCACGAATGTTTTCACTAACTATCTGTTTCGGTGATTTATTGTTTACACATTTTTTGTTTTCATTTTGTTTTCAAACCGTTAACATAAAGTGATTTACACTATTCGTAAGAAAAATTAAAGTTAGCTATAATGTTGTTTACCTTTTATACCGAACATAAAATGTCCAAAATGCATATCAACAATGTATTAATGGCTTCTGGATCTGTCCCGTTGAGAGGGCCTCTGCCAATAACAAAAAACAAATGCATACAAAATACATCAATTGACCTGTTAGTGATGTAATGTGTTTCTCAGCTAAATGACCGACAGAATAAGATGGTACCGTTGGCATCTGGACCTCTAATAATGTCATCATTTATCTGGACGTATCATTTCTTCATAATTGTGTCTGAATGAACGTAAGGAGGCAAAGTGGCTTAAAAATAAATGTCAAAATAATTAAACTTGAATTTCCTCATTTTGTTATACTATGTTTTTATTACGTTTGGTTTCGTTTTTAATTCTTTTCGTTTCGTTTTGCATTTTGTTTGGCGCTTTGCATTTGCCCCAACTTTTTGACATTCGGTTGCGTCAATGCACAACAGTTTTACACGTGGATATGGTGATATGAAAGTATGGAGTTGAGCATGTGGTGACAACTGTGTTGAAGTTAAGCGATGATACTCAGGACTAAAACTCGTGTGTCTGCTATCATACGTCTAGAACCTGGTGAACACATAAGACAACATTTCAAAAAGGTCTCTACATTCCACCCGGCCTGTCGGCTATGACGTTAAATCTAAAGAGGTTGGCACATTTACACGTATCTATCACACCCTACAGAGATTGGCAAATGTACACAGTTATGATGTACCAGAAACAGTATATAAGCTTCGTCAACTTGAGAGTAAGCTACCATTCATTTTGAGATGTTTAAGTTATATACATGTATAAACTCATGACTGGGATTATTATACTGTATACGATTAAAAACGCGTGGTTCTTGGTGCTTTAAAACGAACAACTTGTCACCAAAGCACAAAATTATTTGTGCATCCGAAGTTGATATAGAAATATAGTAGTTTATGTAACGACAGGTCAAGTTGATTATGCATTGAGCATCGGCGCTCTGGAATTTCAGTATTAATCGTATTATATGTTTACACAATGTCTGATTAAAATATTTGAAATGTATTCAGTCAGTGGTCAGGGAGTTGGCATTCGCTCTTTAATTTTGAACAAGCGCATGCCAAATTAGTTTATAAATACAAGCAGCCGACCAAGGATGATTTTATACAACGCCGTCTTCATCCTCGGCTATCCTACACAATGCTACATGTGTAACTCAGTATTCTCAGATTCACGATAATTAGTGATGTACCTGTTATAAGTAGAGTCCCAAATTCTGTGTGACGAGTTTATAATATAACCATCAGGTTTGTTTTGTTTGTGTTTTACGTCCTATTAAAAGCTATGGTCATTTAATTAAGACGTGTCAGGTTTTGTTGGTGGAGGAAAGCCGGCGTTCCCGGAGAAAAACCACCAACCTATGGCCGGTACCTGGCGACTACCAGAGCGCCGATGCTCAATGCATAATCAACTTGACCTGTCGTTACATAAACTACTATATTTCTATATCAACTTCGGCCCCTTCAGTTTATCAGCTGATCTTAGTAGCGATATACAGTAGTCCACCAGTTAAAGGGTTATTTGTTTGTTATCCTTTTTGATTCACAACTAATTTGAAATATTAAAACTCCGACTATTAGTTCCGAAGTACATCTGGCGAATAGTCAAAACAGGCACACGGCACCTGTCAAGTTAGCGTCACGGTTAAGTGGCTATATTAACCATGACCGGTCATCGGAAAGATAGTCCGACAGGGGATTGTTAACAGGTATACCCTACACGCGACGTTTTACACAGTGACGTATGAGGATATCGTATAACGTTATTATCGTATTGTGGCAAAATATGATATGGATTTTATTTGTATATCAGATAATTTAATGTGATGTATTATAATAAAGTACCAGTTTGTAAATCAAATGTCGCACGGGAAAATATCTCACGATGCAACCCTGTTGTGCATCAGTTCCTTCTTAAATTCAGACTATTCCGATACCAATGAACCAGTGTTTGCGATACTTGTCGATAAAAGGTCACTGGTATATTACTTACCAAACATGTGTTTTGCTCTTAGCTTACTAAGACTAACAATGTACACTTCTATTCAGAGACAAGCAGGAATCGTAAGTCTTGGTGTGCAAGGGTGGCATATATGTACTTGATGTCAAATTAGTTTCCAATTCATGTATCGTAAAATGAGTCTTGACGTTTCATTTAGGCAAGGCAAGCTAAAAGAAATCTTCGAGACGAGTTTCATAACTTTCTTGTGTTTGTAATTTGAATTGTATCGAATTTATGTGTGTGTGTGTGGGGGGGGGGGGGGGGGGAGTACTTGCATCTGCTTTAGAATTACACATATTTGTTAAATGCATTAAATACTTAAACGTTCAGTACGTTTTATCCCCGTATGAAATCAGCAGACTTATCGGACAGAAGGTTACGGACTAATGTAAGGGATCGAGAGAGATTATCTGCTAAATCTGAGTAAGAGGGGGGCTTTACCTCTAATTAGAGTTTGAACGTGTGTCAATAAATGTGGATATTTAATAGACAATACGTGATCATATCTGACGTGCGTAACTAAGGACAGCGAGTCATTTAATTCATACCTGGTCATTTATAAACCTTACATATAGGGCAGCTGATATACCAAACTTTGTTAGCTTGAAAATAAGTCATTTTTATTTGTTATCCTGCAATGACTTCAGAAATTTACGTAATTTTGTGTTCTCTTTAAAGTCGAACTGTGGTTGCTTTTAGACCGAAATCGTTATGATATACTGTAGATCTAATAATACATACAGGAACTTGATACGCCTGGGTTACAGTAGAAATGGTTTGGTGTATGAGATCAGGCGTTGGCGGGCTACCATAACCCGGTATACTAATATACAAATGTCAGGGTTAATGACATCATGGGTGTTGGAAATGTTTCAGACATTGTATGAATATTTCTTTACAAAACATTTACGAAACCTTATTTTTTACAGGAAATGTAAGTGAGAATGACTGTTTGACGTATGATTGGTAATTTACGATACAGCTGAGGCTGTGCGTGTAATTGTATATATGGATCATGATGTAAATTATAGATATTGGACATTATAGTATAAGAATTACATGTGTAGGACACGGCAACACGACAGGGCGTGTAGCCGCACACAAAAGTATATTTGAGGTTTTAAGTTTCTCCACAGAATTAAATCATAATACAACATTGTTCTGCATGACGATGATTCGGCATGTTTTAGAGACCAACAAATCGGTTTAGAATTAAGACGAATAGAAAGAACGATTATGCAAATATCAATTGATTTGAAAAATGGGGCCTAAATCATTATATAATAAAAAGGGTGCGGTTGTCATTTATGTCGGTCGTAACGCATCACAACTACTTATTAACATTGTAAATGAAACAGTTATAAAGGTAGGCTTCTATCAAGTCGGGTCGTGTGAAAATAAAATGCATACAATAGGATATGCTCTCCATTTTATCATAGTATTGTGCCCCTATAAAAATTACCAAATAAACTAAAGAAATGGTCCAAAGATTTACACGTGCGGTTATCTACTTCTTACAAATGACAACATCGAATTCAAACGTAAGTTAGCCACGTTTTTCTTTAAATATTATTGAAGATGTCATAATATTAATGTTAGGTATAAGCAAATATGGGTTATTCATTCAGTATCCAAACAAATTGGATTCACTACCTGTACATAGCGTTACATGTAGCTTGTTACCACTCCGTAGCTGTACACTCCTCAGCATACAGGATCACCTTACCTTCACTGTGTTGTACTACTCAAGTCCGTAATACATTGTTAATCTTCAGGAAAACATCTGTTTGAAGTGAAAGAACAAGTCGAATTATTTATTTGCGTTTCATTTAATGAATAATACGAATTCTAAACCTAAAGCCTTAATCTTCTGTAAATCATGTGTCTTCAAACGAAAAATAAGCGAATTGTCTACTTATCACTATAAACGGTAAAATTACGCCAATGAATGCAGTTCCAAAATAACTCAATTATTAGACTTTGACAAAAAATGCCAGTTCACTTAATCTGAATGTTTTATGTACAATAAACCGTTTGCATATGATCATTTTAATAGTTTAACAATCTATCCATTAGTCTAACAAGCAATCGACAGACACAAACCTCTTTATTATTTCTTTGTCGCTTAAAATATCATGAAATTGATATAATGATATGTTTGATTTAGAATAACTCCAAAATCAAATGATTTATCCTACACTAAACTTTGGAAGAGATTTAAATAATGGAAAAATTGTATATCAAATATAGAGTTTCCGAAATGCCTTGAAGTTTAACAAGATTATATTTTAAATTGGTTGAGTGATAATAAATCATTCTCACTACGTGTTCTCACCTAACACTGTTTAATCACATGATCGTCCATAGGACATAGTTTGCAGACCAAAATATTTTCACCAATTGAAAAAAAGACTTGAATCAATAAATGGAGATTAAATTAGAAACCTCCCGCAACTGATTTCAACGTCTTTTACCTGAAATGACATTAAAAAATCACTGGTTTAATCGATATTGATGTTCTTTGTTTACGTAATAGACTCGTGCTCAGTACACCCGTGTGGGTTAACAGACTGATTTGACTCCGCCGAAGGCTCGCCGACACGAACAGCTTCGATCAGTTTAGTGGGCCGGGGAATTATTGATGAATAAAAAACCAATGGAACTGTGCACGATTTAGTTTTTTAAACTTTTTAAATATGTAAACCTTAGGTCAAATGAAAAAGGATAATTATTTTAAATGAGAATTTGAAAACAACTGGATATTAAATTTGTTTAATTGATATTACAATAGTACCCCTCGCTCACGAGTTAAAATGGTATGTATCACTGGACGACATCGCTAGAAGTCTTATGATATAGATCATTATTACAGGCGCATGCATATTACACGAGTGTAAAAGTACATTATAATGCTCCCCGTCGGAAATATATAAATATCATATATATATAGTGTTATGTATTAAAACCCAAAATGAGCTTTCAACCGAAATAACATATTGAATGGTGAACGAGTGTATGACATCATAAATGATTTAATTAAAGATGAATGGCAAAACACGAATGATATCTAACGATGACTCGAGTGAAGGTCAAACTAACCAATAACAAAGAAACTCTGAAATATAATTTCAATGAAGTTAGTAAGTGGTTTGGATTCACACGTAGCCAATTTTGTTTCCCACTTATATACTGGTGCATTACAATTGTATTGCAAACAAAATGTTTTTATATAAAACATTATAGTTATAAATTATGGATCTTATCCCTCTCTTCTAAAACGCTACCACACACACAGTTCACTATTTCACCACACACGTATTTATACAATACCCAAAGAAAAGTGATAACCACGTTCGTTCATCTTTATGAGGCGTAAATAAACGATGTTACAACAAACATTCTACTCCGAAATTTCAAGGTAAAACTCTTTAACCTGTCTTATTAATAAACTTTCAAATTAACCTTTGTTATAAGTAAACTCTCAAAGGAACCTGGGGAACAAACAGGTAAACTGTCAAGTTAACCTGAGGATCAAGTTAATTGACAAAATTAATTTTTGGAATAACTAAACTGACAAAATAAACCTGAATAAAAAGTAAACTGGCAAGTTTATTAAATGTTAATTAGAACTGATTGCAACCTATCTTTACGTATGCATCTTCAATGTACCTTTCTTTGCTATAACCAAACAGCATAATGTCAATATTGCCAATGCCTTAGAACAACATTGCTTCATTGTTAATATTCTTCATCAGACGTAACATGTTCTTTATTGTTTTTTATTATATTTTAAGCAGCTTAATTCGACATAATTGAACGTTTTGTGTAGTCTGAAGTGTTTTAATAAGTAAAACTATAGAACTTGTTCTGATACAAGTTTTTTTTAGTACAAAGACGTATGCTTAGACGTAAACATTTGACTACAGTTTAGTTTCAGCTACGAAATCGAATGATTGAAGTATATATTTCCATTTAAAATTATATCATAATTCCGACTTTTGACAGCTGAAATACATTGCCCGTATTTCATACACCGACCCCTATACCAGAACATTCTGTCTTAGCCGCACCAACATACTATGAACGTATTACAATGAGGATATCAATTTTGTTACAACAATACAGCATCAGATGACCTATTTGTTACCTTTGAATTAAAGACAATAACTCTGTGATAACATTTACCATCGTCAAGGACATGATCAGATTTAACCTCATCAATGTCGCGCTTAAGATAACATTTTGTGTGTTCGAATGCTGAAAGCATATCTTTGATCGTAGGTGAGGCCTGTTGATATTGTAAACAATGTCCACTCACCGTCATTTATGTCCTGATCTATTTTAGCTTGATACAATATATCTATATAGCTGTGAACATAATACGGGTCCTGTACCATGACAGGTCCAAGCCGATGATGTGTTGAACGTATCGTGCTGATCAACACAGTATTGTTTGTGTCTAAACACAATTAACCCCACTTATCAATTATCTATATCCGGTGGTAAATGCTTGAATGAACCATTTGTTAGAGTTGGTCAAAAGATCAATTTTTCATTAAGAGATATATAGTTATGAAAGGGGTCATTCTGAGTCATGGGGTGAGACAAAGCTGTTTATGTCTGAATGACTCGTCATCAACCTCTAGAATAGGTATATATACTGGTAGTTATTCATTAAGTAAATGTCAATACAATCAATACCACTTCATAAACACAAAAGGAATTAATAATAACCAAAAGTCGATACAAAACCTCAACTATAGAAAGCAAACATCAAAATAAAAAGTAAGATATTGCGAAGCCCTACAAATGGAGGCGAAAACATGTCCATCACCATATGTGGCACTCATCATGATGGTCGTTCTCTTTTCACTTTTGATATCCCTATTTTTATCATTTCTGGTGTTGAAGATTGACAAATTTGAATGTCTGAAACCTATTACAATCGTTGCTTCATGGTATTCAACTATATCCAAGATTTCGTATGTTTATGAAAGTAGAATACAGGGCACTGTAAATAAATGGTAATCGGAATGTATGTTAAACTCATAAAGATGAGACTAGATACTTGCATGCTTACATGTGTTTTATTGACTATGTAAATTGATTTATGATTAAACAGGTGTATGTCCATTTGAATAATGTAACAAAGTGTTGTTGCTTTTGGATATAAACAAAAGATATCATGTAAACTAAATGCAAAACCAAAAACCTGAATAGGAATAAAATGTAGTTCTACAGTTCGGTTCTCTATCAACTCCTCTATCGCCACCACCATGTTCGGAGCACATACAATGTGAAGTTAACTGTGGGGGAAAGTTTTTATATCACAATAAAACAAATATAAAACGCCGATGCATCCCTTGAACACGTACGCAGTCTGTAAGTATTGTCAACTTAATGATCAAAATTATGAATAAAAATATGTAAGGTGTAATCAATAAACCTCTTAATGAAAATTATTAAATGTTAATCGTTTTGGTCAATATTTTTTAATGTATAAAACATAGCATACATTGTAAAATGCGGATTTGTTTTAAAATTAGCAGATGCATTCTCAAACTAACCAGAAATTACAATACTAGCTGCATACAATAACACACAGGCATATTTCGGACTGATACGTCGGAATAGTACGTTCGTTGGATAATTCATTAGAAAACATAACTTTTCCCTGCCAAAAACATCATAGCATGGAGTTAATTCTCGGTAATGAAAATGAGCCCTTGGCCAGGCAGATATATACGGCTATTGTTTAGAGACTTTACGAGGAAGTCAAGTACCAATGGACGTTGTTAAGACGTGTTAACAGTGTTTCGTGATTTATGATTCATAGAAATACAAAGTAATGGAAAATAGATATCCCACGGCAGCAACGTACGATGCTGTCCAACTAAAACAATAGTTCCTAGTCTTAACCAGCCCTTCTGGCTAAACTTGATTCTTGGCTGATTTGTGTTTCTCTATGAGAGTATATTATGTTTACCGACTTGTTCTAACTAAGCTCATGGCGTCCAACAGTTTTCAACGTAAATACAAACACGTATCATCAAATGTTCCCATCTGTTCTACAGGTACTTCCATGAACATCAGGATCCAGATCTAGGAAATTGTGTGACGTTTTCAAATCCAGGCAACAACATAGGTAGATCACCCATGTTTATATGTTCAGACTTTTCTGTCATTATATTTAAATGCGATTCGTCAGTAATATCCCTGTAACTATATAGCAGGATATGGTGATGACGTTTCTGAATTAAACTATTATATACTGACATCGACGTTTTGACATACTGTATCTATTACTATATTTTACAAATGCAAACACATGTGTGTGTCTTACGTTTTACTGCTTACTTTCTATTTAAATAAACCGAAAATAATATTTAGCGCGACTTACAGACCATATAATTAATTATCTATTTTGATACAACATTTTTGTTAATTATTAATTGATTAAATATATATATTTTTTGATGTTTTTTAGAAACGGTCAGCTTCCTTTTGAACGCCGAGCCAGACGAGTCCGTTGGGGAGCTGACTGCCTCTGTGGGTGTCAACGTGTACGTTGGCGAGACCGACAGTGGTCAAAATACCCTAACACTCGCTCAGCCTGGTACAGCGGCCTTCATTAATGTACAGAAGGTACGCAACGTCTGTTTATATATGATCGTGTCCATATTTGAACTCTAATCACAGCAAAGCTGAAGTGTTATATGCCGGACATATCTAGATATCGTTAGATATAAACATATCACGGAGTCTCTTCTTTAATACATAAGTTGAAGGAACACGACATAATTTAACACACAAAGAACGGTGTTGAAAGGTAACATGACTGCTATAATACCTCCAAGATTCAACAGTTTATATAAAGTATGAGTGCTACCCGATAGTAAAGAACATGAACAAACGGTACAGCAACATGATTATAATAATGAACTAAATTGATTCGCTTGATATTTTTTAGTCCGGACTATACCACCAACCTCTTCTTTTAAAACTGAATTTAAAACTAAAATAAAAGGGGAAAGACTTTAAACATAAAGGTGACCCCAACTTTTTGAATTGTGTGGATCCGTCCTTGCATACTGTGCTTGTTATAATTTTGTAAATGATCTTTTTTACGCTTGTTCTTAATACAACCGTCATATTGTCTTGTTTTGATGTTGCATCGGTTTTTGTTTTTGTGTTTTTTTGTTTTTGTGTTTTTGTTTTTGTGTTTTCGTCGCAACATTTGTATATGACGTGTTGAAGAAAAGTACATTTCTCAAAATACAAATTATGAATAATTCTTTCAGGTATCAAAGCTATAAAAGAAGTGGTAAACAGAACTATAAATTAAGCAGTTGGAGACGGTCTATAGGTCAATATGACGACTCGTGCTTCGGCATAACACGACTCTTTAATGTTATTATCTTTAATGTCAGATTAATAATTAATGGCTAAATCAAGATTATTTTTCTTTAAACGAAAAAGAGTTTATCCTTCGTTATTGGAAGTCGATTACCTTTGCTCTTTGTATATATAAGTCCATATTGCTTCTGAAACAGCAAATGATCTGTATTAACTGTTTGTTTTCATTTGAAATGCTGATTGATTTTGTTACCAGAAATCCAGAATAGACCGAAGCAAAGACTGTAGTAGTCAAGAACAATACTCACAGAAGGTAAGAACTTATATTGTGTGCTTAGCAAGAATAGCGATAACAGGTATTAGAATTATGCATATTCTCGAAATCCTTAAGGTTTATAAAATAATGCTGTCATTTCGAAGAGTCATACAAAATGTTCACACTTATTATCTCATAAAACATACTTAACAAATAAATAGATCACACTTATTATCTCATATAACATACTTAACAAAGAAATAGATCACACTTATTATCTCATGTAACATACTTAACAAATAAATAGATCACACTTATTATCTCATATAACATACTTAACAAAGAAATAGTTCACAATTACTATCTCATATAACATACTTAACAAAGAAATATATCACACTTATTATCTCATGTAACATACTTAACAAAGAAATAGATCACACTTATTATCTCATGTAACATACTTAACAAAAAAATAGATCACACTTATTATCTCATATAACATACTTAACAAATAAGTAGATCACACTTATTATCTCATATAACATACTTAACAAATAAGTAGATCACACTTATTATCTCATATAACATACTTAACAAATAAATAGTTCACACTTATTATCTCATGTACCATACTTACAATGTAACAAAGAAATAGATCACAGGTAATACCTTTTAGAATATACTCAAAATGGAAATGAGTCAGGTCACTTAATGCCACATATAACATACTAAACAAAGGAATAGGTCGCTGGGTTTTTTCAACATAATATACAAATAAAATTGCTTCTCAACAAGACAACCGTTGTTCAGTCATGTTTTGAATTCATTGATGTATAATACATTATTTGGAAACGTCAATATTTAATGCATAAGCTTCGATTTTTGTTAGGCGTTGGCGCCTGTTAGTGCAGGCAACATATACATATGATAAGCGATCGGTTTTATATGATACTCATTGTTTTCTATTTCCTCAGGCGTGTTTGAGACAATGTGTTGATGATAAGATAGCAACTTTCTGTCAGTGTCAACGGTCTTATGATGTCATAGCAACAGAACAGTGTCGCGTGGACGTCAAATTTGAAAGTAAGTTTGATGTTTGAGCATTACGGATGCTGACACATTTGTTTCTAATAAAGAAGTCAATATAAATAATATCCTGTTAATGAAAATTTAATTAAACGCGCACTTTAAAGTAATAATTAATATAAATTGTTTTCATCATCGATGCATTTTAACAAGAATATTTAAGAAATAATCAATAGATGTACATTTAACAAAGGTGAAAAATCAGCCAGTGCTTACTTTTCCCAAAAAACATTCAAATCCTGGTTTACATATATTCAATAATATACTTAATCTTTACGCGTTAAGACTATTTCAAAGACCTGTTAAAATTGCTAGTTTGGGAATGTCTTCATTTTATAATAAACGCAACGCTACCTTTTGTCGGAATGTAACTATCTTTGTTTCTTTTTTCTGCAGATGTTTGTGCACGAACAATACAGAAACTGTACTCACTCGGAAAGCTGACATGTGGTTGTCTTCCTAAGTGCGAGTATGTTTATACAATGGCTGTTACGTATTCTGTGTATACGGCAATTTTATTGACTATATTATTATCTGTATACGTTTATTTTACTGACTACATATGCATTTTTGGCCATTTTGGGGTAATGGCCTTGAATTTATCGGAGTATAGAATACTTTTACAATGCAATCGACTTGACGTCATTTAAGTAAATCTCTAAATCACATTTGAACAGATTTTTCTTTTGGGAGGGGGGGGGGGAGCCCCTGAGCTCTGCAGCGGGCATGGAAAATATGGTCCACCTTACTTACCTGTGATACTTACCATTCTATATTTCAGCCAATCCCTGTACAGTGTTGAAGCATCCTCATCTGAGTGGCCGTCCACGGGAAACATCGGCTACATAGAACAGTTCCTGCACCAACAGGGACGCAACAGTTCTCCTCACTTCATCAGGTAAGACATCCGACGTAATACCTAACACCCCCTCATCACCTAGAACGCATCACGTGTCTGTGAAGGCAATATTGTTTTGATAAACATGGTAGTATATACCTATTATTTTTCTTTAGTGACATATGTTGCAAACACCGTGTGTTACAGTATGTTTGTCGAAATGTATTACTTAAATTGTGATAGTCATTTCTCACATGACTAACGTTGTAATCCACATTTTATGCGATCTATGTTGTAATCAACATCATTTGAGGCATCACTGCGGTATGCTGTGATGAACAAAAACGTTACACGACGTATACAGTAATATTTCATGGCCAATATATCAATGTGTTAAACATATTAAATAAACATATGACAGAATGTGATTGGAAAGTTACTGACGGAAATACCTTAACTAGAAACTGATTCGTCACTTCATGTGTTCATGAACGCTGATATCTGTACACAGGAGTTCGTTGACGAAGGTGACAGTCAACTACAGGGACATGGTGGCGGAAACTGTCACAGAATCATCATTAACGGTAAGACAATATATGATGATGAAGTTACCCACTTTTTGATGGTATTAGTGAAATGGTTCCAGTGAAGGAAGCTGGACCCCTGTCCTACGACATCCCTCTGTATCCTTCTACATGTAAAAAAGACTTTTTTCAGACTACAAAATACAGAGATTTGTTACCCTACTTCAAGGGACGTAACTCTTCATCATACTTCAACTAACAAAACTATTTACCCTGATATAAGAGACATTACCTTTTTTTCCTACAACAACGCATACGGCTCTTTACCCTACTTCAAGGGAGGTAGCTCTAGATCTATATCCTAATGTAAGTCATATGGTGAGCTCTCTGCTCTGCTGTAAAGGACTTCTTAACTCTTTATCCTACTTCAAATGACAAACTCTTTATCCTACTTCAAGGGAGGTAAATCTTAGCAATTTTATAAAATCAAAAATTGTGGTTGCGGGTTTATTGATCGTGAATGATAAAAAATAAATAATGAAATAACTTCTATTTCAAAACAATTACACTGGCATATGAAAAGAAAAAATTAAAATGTAGAATTTAACTTTTCGTCTTTACAGCTATTGGATCTGTTCGCTAAGATCGGTGGTATATCAGCCATATTGGTGGGGGTGTCGGCCATCAGTATACTGGAGGTTCTGTGGTTCGTGGTCAGGCTGGTGTCACACGGATGTCGGCAGATGATCAGACGGTACTTTTTTCTTTTATATTTTTGGAGAGACTCCTTGATTGACATCACGTTGGAATTTTACGAAAATAATAATAACTGTTTTAGTCTAATATTGCCTTTGTTTGAAGCATTAGCACGAAAGTATTCTTTTGATGATAACCAAACCCAACATCTTCACGATAACCAATTTTCATTACTTTTATCTCAGGTCTAAGCAAAGAGATACTATACATCGGTTGGCTGAATCCGACGTCACTTCAATCACGTGGCAGGCTTATCGTCACAAACGAAGAGAGGAAGTTAAGAACAACAACACTGCTCTCACCAAACAGGCCGTACGACGAAACAGTAGCCGACAAAGCCGACAATCTCTACCCACAATTACAGAGGAAAACAAACACCGGAAACTCGCAAACGGCCATCTTGAAAACAATCTGTACTCACACCCATTGGAACGCACAGGACACCGGCGTGTATACAATAACTTAGTCAAAGCTGAGCGTACACCTGGATCAGAATTTCCAGTTTTCAATTCTCTTAATGAATTTCACCGTCCACGATGTTCTACACCTGACAACTCTGACCATCTCAACAGTCGTCTGCTTCAAATGGATGGCGGGAACGCACATCATTATCCACATCAAGGTAGAATCGTGACCCCGGCTGACGCCATCCAACGATACGGGCATTCAGCAAGCAAATACATATGTAGCGAAGGCATCTATTTGTAACATTGTTTTTCCTCCAATGTATGTTTTCAAAGAAAACACATTTTTGTCATGAAGTTTTATCAAGTTTTACAATTTAAGACAGTATCACGTTTTGCTATTTATTAAACACTATGTTTTAAGTATCACTTAGCCTACAAACCTGTGATATCATGAGTACATTTATGTTGAAAAATAAAATTTAGTATTTGAAAACAATTTGTTGTTTAATAGAACATACCTGACAAGACTTAGAAGGGATAATGTTGTTTACAGGGAAATGAAAAGTATGTACAATGTTTTTGAGGCGAAGGTATGTATTCCGCGATGAATGAATAGCAACATGAGAAGAACGATAACTCATAGAATATTCGGTTAGGTTACAACGTATTGTGGTATTTTGGTAAGGTTGCACCACCGATAACAACTGTTAAAACAGAAATTGACATAATGAAGTAATTTGGAAACAAAGGAAGCGTAACCATATCGTTGAATAAGATGATTTATTCTTTGTAATACTTCAGTTCTGGGACCCACCTAGGTTCATTACATCAATACCTGGATATCCTTACTGTCCAATGTATTGTTAACCCCGCTGAGCTTAAGCTGGTAAACAGTGTAATTTATCAAAAAGAAATCGTTGTAAAAGAATACTCTCTGATATTTAACTTTGACTGAGATTTGAATAGCATTAGATTATATCCATGGGTTGCTGACTTCTCTTTACATTATGACGTTAACGTTATAGAATGTTTTGTCTGCAGTGTAAAGTTAATACACCTAGTAATATCTGAGAGCGAACCCATCACATCACAAGCCCGTGTATCGTTATGCAGCTCAGTAAACAGTACACGTACAAAGATTGGCAGAACATATTGCAGAAAGCAAGCAAATCTACAAAACTTTCACCTGGAGTGAGGTGATATATATAATACCACGCAAGAACACAACTAAACACAAAGTATTAAGATTTTAGACAGGTGATCATGTCTGGTTGGCAATTCGTTCATGGAAATAGCCGATGTTACAACAGAAACATCTTTGAACATTCGCACGCGACCCGTTTCTGCAAAATTTGGCCATAATATACACTTTTCATGAATCATGCATACCAAAGACAATAGAGTATCGTTGTTGTAATGTAAAATATAATCTGTCATTTCAGCTGCACGTGTGTGATGAGACATTACAAAGATGTAATCAGAAATATTGTGTTCACATGAATATATCCATTGCCAGGTAATAGCAGCCATACCTAGACCTAGGTAAAATATGTATATTTTGATGTACACCTAGGTAAAATGTGTATATTTTGATGTACACCTAGGTAAAATGTATATATATATATATTGATGAACACCTTGATATACCTAGGTAAAATGTATATATATATATATATTGATGTACACCTAGGTAAAATGTATATATATATATTGATGTACACCTAGGTAAAATGTATATATATATATTGATGAACAGTTAGGTAAAATGTATATATATATATATATTGATGAACACCTAGGTAAAATGTATATATATATATTGATGAACACCTTGATATAGCACTTTGAAACTTTTATCTCGTCGTTTACACTTTGAAGATGTTTGCCTCCAGCGTCTATGATGAAATTATATTGAAAGAAACATGCAAACCTGGTGTAGTAAATTGGGAACTTTATGTCTATGTTTATTTGATCACTGCCGGACTAAGTATTCGGGCCAAAACGTATAATTAATAAAACTGCATGGAACACTGATGTTCATAACCTACTATCACCCGCCAGAAATAGCCTTGTGATATTATATCGACTTTATACATATTAGTTAAAGGGACGCTAAGGAGGAATAAGGAGTTTACAACCATCACAAAACAAGTGGTAAGCACGCTCTGGTCGGCCTAATCCGGAAATAGGATAAGGGTCTCAGCGTCCCGATCTCCATTTAGGTCTTATGTATACGTCAATACCGCATTTGTTCATATAATTATGATCATCTTGTATCCTCGCTTTTATTGCTCGTTTTGAAAAGAACCAATATTGAAAAGTCTCAATAAAGATAAAGACGCGTAGTTCTTAACATATATACATAATTGGTCAATAAACACGGTATAATTACATTGTAGAACAAACCCATATAGTGTTGGCATTATATCAGCATATGCGTGCTACACGGATGTGCCTCAGTTTACCAGTAATACGATTACAGTATCGGCGCTACACATACTTAACATGAAAAACTCTATAATACGTCCTGTTTATATAAACACTTTTTTATTTTGCTAGTCGGAATAAGAACATATTAATATATATATATGTATCCATATGGTACACTAGGGTCCATAATCATGCTCATCAACGGAGCTTTCTTTACTAGTTACATGCATTTGTTGCCTATATTCCAAACCAGTTAGTGATAGGCCTACTTGCTGATATAATAGCCTACTCTATAACAAACAATATCACCAAGCATTATTTTCACCGTCTGCCTGACGGTTATCACTTATTGCATAAGCGCCAATATGCTGACACTAAATCCGAATAAGACAGAACTCATGGATCTGCAAGGTTTGCGAATTATTCATGATTCCCATCAGTGAGAAACTTCGGTGCATCCTTCAACTATTTAGAAGCGGAATGATTCTATTCCAGAGGTATATGATGTGCACTACCAAATCCAAAACCTTGGTTTCATTCGCTGGTGACCTCTCGTTTGGACTACGGCAATACCGTGTATATGGTATATCTGTTAGACTAGAAAGGTTTCTTCATAGAATTCTTTATACAAAGCACTACAAGCTCGGCTGGTTACTCACACTCGAAGGAGAGGACATATCACACCATGAATTCTTTATAAACCTTCACTGCTTACCTGTACGATACAATTTACATAAGAGCCCTGATGTTTGCATAAAGGCGCTAAATTGAACAGTTCCTCAGTATCTGAAGGAATTTGTTACTCTCCATGTCAGAATCCCTGCTGTGTATCCAAGTTTTGTACTGTGAAATATGAAAACAGCTAGGTGTTTCGGAAAGTTAGCAGCTACGCCTACTTCGTGGAATGACTTCTGACCTGCTACGAGAAAGTCAAAAAAGCTTCCTGCTTTTCAGAAATTGATTAACCTCTTAATTTAATATTGTGTTAAAGCGTTTCAGCTCTGGTGTTTGATCTTTGATCCGACATTTTCAGTATACCGATGTTGTGTAATGCACTTGAGAGTTATTTCATGAAATATATTTGGCGCTCTATAGATGCTACATGTATATATTTTAATCAGTATTATCATTAAGAATATCAGAATATTGTTTTCAGAATGCCTTACGTTAAACATTATAGATCGTCGGCTTTAGGAAGGAAGAAGATACAAAATGGTTAATCCGTAATATCCTAAGATTTAATTGATGGGAAATGATCTTAAAATCAAGTCACATTAGTAAAAGCATCAAGTACCCTAGAACCATACAAATTAAATAGCATGAATGTCACGATGATTAACAGGGCAGATCAATAGAAACAAATAATCGCTATTCAACAGTAACATATTTTTAGCTTGAGATATATCACACAAAAAGCCCGAATTTTTCACATGCTTTCTGTATAATATATTATTCAAGGCACGCAGGTGGAAGCACTGTCACAACCAACTAATCCCTATTGTAGTAAATGAAGAACCACTTGTGGAGTATCACGTGCCTTGAACATCCTTACAGTACGGACTATGACAGCAATCGTTTTATTGCAGTTATACACAAAAACAAAGACACCATCAACAACTCAATTAGTATGCCTATCGTTCTGAAAATGTGTGTCTCATCAAAACTTACATGAACATAACGTCTTGTTTCACGTGAAGATTTGTATGTTCATCATACAGGAATTACTGGATATTTTTACTTTCTTATGAAAAGCTGTTTTCTTTCATACAAGTTGTACACTTCAATAAAACCATGAAATCATATCTAAGAGCTTTAAGTTTTTCTTCGATTTGTAAATATAGCTGCCATATCAACAAATATAGATTACAAAGTTAACAAAACTAAGGCTTTTAGTTGAAGGGTAAGCATTTCTTATTAGAGAAGGCAGACAGTAGTGATATGGTTATGCTGTGTAAAAAAGGAAACGCTTGATTACGTGGCATCCTATTGTGACGTTGGTAACGTTTCCGTAATAACTTGGTAGATACAGATATATCTATCGTTTCCCTAACAGGGAATGCACTCGGAAAATGTTGGAGAAGGAAGTAGATTATATTGCATGGGGAAGATAACTTGCTCTTAATTAAACAGTCGACCATTCTTCCTATATCAAGATGACATTGCCTTAAAACTGAGCACGAGAAGGCGCCCATGTACATGCAAAACTTCTGTTTAAACCTGTCATGACCAGGATGTAGCAGCTAACGCTCCAGTGGCTGAAGATCCGAGAGAAAGTACACACTAGGGCCCGTATTCATGAAACCGTTCTCATACTCAAGCACGGATTCTGAGCTCAAACCAACTTTCTTGTAACTCGCTTAAATCATGTCAAACGATCAAAAAGTCAAATGTAAACATTGACAACAGTATTTGTCTTTAAGTCTCTTCCGAATGTTTCCAAATCATTGACAAAACAAGATATATTTATTAAGTTATAACGAGAACAAGAAATTATAGGCTTGAGCAAAAAATCCACGCTTGAGCATGAGATCGGTTTCATGAATATGGCCCCTGAACACCTACCGAAGTATTTGCCTTTTAGTTAAGTTATCATGCAAATAATTCTAATAATAATAAAGAAAATTAAGAAGAAATTTTAAAAAAAAGTGGAGAAACAAATAATTATGTAAATATTACCAACATATTTGCTGGATAATTTTCCGGCAGTTCATTAAAATGGCCGGGACAAAAACGTATGGTAGGTGACTGTATATATCTTAGTATGCATACATGTAAGGGCAAGGAAGTTACAACGACAGTGCAGACAAAGGAATGTGTCAAATTGTCAGGATACGTATACGTAATACGCCCCATTTTTAAGGCAAAATCATGAACAGTTACACATCACAACATATAATAACGATGAACAGTCACTATGAAACAATACGACAAACATAAAATTCATAAACAAAAAACTCAGTTATCACTTAATATGTTTACATATATATGTATACGTGTCGACGAATATTTGGTTTAATTTTAGTTAAAACCGTCATCCCGAGTTGTTTCCCTTGTTCACGCTCTTCCGACCTCGTTCTGATACGCATGGTCTTCTTTCCACTTCAGAAACACCACGCATATCCCAGTTTCCGACCGCTTGTTTAGCGGTTAACCTACCTTAACAATGGTCCTGGACACCATGGGAGAGGTTTTTGAGATGTTCAAGAACAGCTTTCCGTTATCTTTTCTGTTTTTCATCCCGATCTTCATCATCATTTCTCCAGTGAGTCCGGTGAACGCCGCTCACGAATTTGCGGCATACCGAATGCAGCAGTACGACATCCATGGACAACACTACGGTAGGGGAGGTCGTGGCGTTGTCATTTAGGGGCGGGGTTAGGGTGGCGAGCTATTGTTTTGTAAATATATTATAATAGGGAATGATTTACAACATTGCAGTGGCGGATCCAGAGGTTTTTTTGGGCTTCAGGCTTCAGGTATTTTGTTTTGAAAATGATGTATTTTCATCGATCATTTTCATCATTTTTTCCCCACATGGACCCCCCCCCCCCCTGGAAATTTAGACCCCTCCCCCCGATAGGTATCTGGATCCGCAACTGCATTGTTTCATCTACGCGAGGAAGTTTAAAAAAGGTAGTTTTCCTACCCCTAAAATTTTCTGCCAAAAGTGTATTATTCTGTGGCAGGGTTCAATTATACATGTATAGGATTAAGATCGCCTTCTAGCTTTGAGCTAGGGTGAATTTCCCTTTAGCTCAGTGGTAGAGCGTCCGACTAGGAACCTGGAGATCGAGGGTACGATCCCCAGTGGAAGCACACTATTCTCTTTCCTGTTACAATTCAAATGCATTTATTCTATCTCTGATATTTTTAACCTATTCTTGAATGATAGCCTATAGTTCAATAGTTCAATATATATTTTCCGAAAAGAGAAAATTGTAATTGAAGTTCGTACTGTTTGAACTTATATGATTGCTTACCATTGCCAGTATAAATACATACCTACAGTTTATTGAATCAGCAGATTAAATGGACATATTGTATAAACTTGATAGTTTGTTACTAATGTGGGATGTATTTCTCAAAGGTCTTTGACAAAGTTCCCCATCAAAGGCTACTATCGAAACAATATTGTGGTATAAATGGACAAACATGTTTTTGAATATCTCAGTTTTTGAATTCTAGATCCCAGAAAGTCTTGTTAAATGGAACAGAATCTGATAGCTGTCCTGTCTTCTCGGGGGGCCCTCAGGGGACAGTCCTCGGCCCTCTCCTATTTTTGGTGTACATAAATGATATTGTCGACTCAGTTTCATGTAATATAAAACTATACGCTGATGACTGTCTATTATACATGTAAATAAACTCTATTGAAGACTGCTAAGTTGAACAATGACCTTAAGTCTTTAGAAAAATGGGAAGAATTAAGTGGCAAATGAAGTTTAATACCAGTAAATGTTCTATTATTAACGTATCGAAAAAAAGAAACATCATTAATTATAATTATACCCTTCATAATCAGATTTTAGAAAATGTAGATACTTACAAATATCTTAGTGTCACTTTCAGTTCAGACCTAACTTGGGGCAAAGACATTCAAATTTAATCAGTGACCAACAAAATACAACAATTAGACAATGTACAACGCAGAACAGCGAGATACAGTTTTAATGAGTACAGGTCTAGAGATCCAGGCTGTATTACAAACATGATGAAATCATTAGATTGGGAATCTTTATCACAAAGAAGGGCACAAGCTAGATTGCCAATGCTATACAAGATCTTGCATAACATCGTTAAATTAACCCATCATCATACTGGACATCAGGTGACAGACAAACAAGAGGGGCACATAAAATAAACACAATATCTACCGAAAAAGACGCCTACAAATTATCTTTTTTTTTCCCCCAATAACTATTATCACCTGGAACCAATGTCACTGGCCCTCGGTGAGAAATTACCTTCTTTCAAATCCTCACTTGAAGGTTACCACCAGTCTCTTTACTAATTTTGCATCCTCGTTTTGTACATAGTTTTAATATAATACCAAAAAGTTACAAAAAAATATTCTTTGAAATGCCACCTCCTAGGATCAATTGCACTCCAACCTTGGAAATCTGATCCTGTAATGGAAGAAGAAGCATGCGGATATTTAAAAAAAAAATGTGGAATTTGATAAAGTCATCAGGAATGGAGTAAATAAGACACAGAATCCCCAGCTTGGTCCTCTCTAGGATGTTTTTATTTTATATGGTACAGGTTGTAAGAGTGCCCTTGTGAACATGGAGGCCAGACCAATTGATGCCAAAATGATCACCAGACGCTGCATCATTGTCCGACTCCAAGAAATCTCGATCTCTAGATACCGTAATCTGATCCAGGAAAATGCTGGGGCTTTGATGATTCTCCTCCCCCAGAACCTGACATCAATCAATGAACAAGAGAAAAAGGTGATACATGCATAACAACACCTACAATAGATGGAATAGACATGTGATAAAAAAAAAAAGCTTTTGTTCTTGAGGATATTTTTTTTATTGGACTTTTAAGACTTATATTCCATCCTTCTTACTGTTGCCAAATACAAATGTGTCCAGAAAGGGAGTTTTCCAGAGTAATAATAAACTTAACTTTTGAGAAGTAAAACCTGATTTAGCTATAGTCTCCCTCGGGGTCCTCTATATCAGTAAAATGTGTTAGTTTTACATAGTATTTCTTAAAAGATAATAATATAAATTAAACATAAAATATAACTTACAGAATTGCTGATAATATTCACATGCATTATAATATATAGTACAATACATTAAATATCACAAAGCATAAATCTCCTGCTTAAGGTCTGATGAGAGTTTAATGGCCGGAACCTAACATACAAAGTAAGATACCAAAGTGTAAAAAATGTCAGGATATAGTCTAATAAAGCATAAAATTAACAATTATTTTCTTTATCTAAATGTTTGAATCACAATATATTGCTTTATGGAAGGTCATTCAGGTTTGGCAACTTGATAACTCAAGTGACTTGAATAGAAAGTTGTCCTATGTATAGGAATGTATAACAAATTTTGGTTATTTTTATTCGTAAAAGAAAATTCCTCTAGGTAGTTGTATTCATTTACTCAAAAAATGTGTTTCATTTTGAAACTATTTGTTCAATTTGTATATATATATATATCATCTTTATTTCCTCCAAATTGGAGAGCATGATACAATGATAGTACATGAATAATACATTATTTACAAAATGACAACAATCATGACATTCATACAAGTTCACAAATGTGTATACATATATAGTGTTATAATACTGGTTTATGTAGCCAGTAAAAAAAATGCCTTGCCCATGTTCATTTTTTTTTACATTTTCCATATATTAAAATGGCAAGTAGTCTAAATTCTTCAAAATCAATTTCATTTAAATGATAGGTCATTGGGCCTCCTAGTAAAATGTGAATTACTGAATAGTCAGGCAGTGAATGCAGATATGAACTGAGTTCAATACTTGAAATGCAGGCAATTATACACCATAAATTGTCACGAAGATTTTCTGTTACAGAACAATGCAAAACCATGTGAGATACAAAATCTGTGTAGAAATAGCCACAATGATGACATAAAAGTTGTATGTTACTTACAACTGTGTGCTTTAGTCCCACTTATATGCACTACTCAGAGGTGTACAATTTCATATTAAGAATACTAGACCACAGGTTGATTTTAAAAAGCTCAACTAGCCTGACCTATATTTTCATTTGAAATATAGAAAATGTTCACTAGCCCAAACATAAAATCTACTAGCCCTTGGCATGAGGCTAGTTGAATTGTACATCCCTGCCAATTAAGCTAGTATAATTAAATAAAGGTGTTGTTTTGTCACTTGTTTAACCAGAATCTTGAGGTCCTTGAGAGGGAAATCCTGTCAGAAGAAACTTCAATCCCTGTGTACTTTTCCCCGGAGACGGATGATTTGCTCCAGATTCATTCCGACCTACAGTCCGGTAGCTCCGGAGACCAGGCAACAACTGCCGTTGATGGTTAGTAGTAGATAAATAGGATTATTATGTTGAACCAAAGATATATGATGGTGTTCAGTCATTGTAAAGATTGATGAGGACATCAAATGATCAAGTCAGTTTAGTGTTCAGACATTCACAACACAATGTTAGAATGCTTTAACCAGAGTGAAGCTTGTATGATAGATTAATCTAAAGTGGTCATATTTGTCAACGACATGTTATACAGTAGGTCAAAATATATGATACTAAGAGTTTTTTATGTGTGTTTTGAAAATTGGTTTAGCTATTTTTTCATTTTTGTATTTTAAAGTAAAATGATATCGTTTATACATCGTTCTTTGTATGAGATGTCAACATGTTCTTTATTTGCTACAGCCCTGTTGGGTGCTGCTACTGCCAATGGTTTCCAAATTGTTGTCAATGGTGCTCAGTCCAAAAGTCTTCCAGATTTTCAAATCACAAATCTTCAGGTAAGCAAGCCATTTCACATTGATATCATACATCATAGTATGCTATACATATATTTATTTCATATAAGTTGTCTTTTAATGGTGAAGACAGAGCTGTGTTTTGCCACTCAATAAAAGTTTTGTAATTTAATACATTTAATAATCCAAGAGGGAATATGATATATTGCCAAATTGTTATATGATGTTCTTGCATTTGTGAATACCTCAATAATACATTATACATCCATGCGTAGTTTTTTTTGTTCTGGTTGATAGTTACGGTTTGGATTTATGATATTAAAGAAATCAACAGATACTCAGATGACATTGACAGACAAGTCATATTCAAAAATGTACTTTAAGATATGCAATGGATGAACAAGTTCAGATTTTATCAGAATTGTAAAAAAAATAAGATTAATATAATATAACGGATTGATGACCACAAAGTATGACCGCTACCGCCCTAGTAAAAATATGTCAATACATAAAGAATATGTGTACACAACATCATATTTTGAGGACTATTCAGGAATTGATAGTACAATATGGATATAGGACACTTGTCAGTCAAAAATGAAGTTTTTTATATTCTAGACTCTGTAGAATGACAGTATTATATAATATCAGTTTGAATATTTAGTATGGGTATCTGCACATGCTTACTCAGGAGCTATTTTATCATTACGTTGTTGTTTTTGTTACAGTGTGACTGTAAAATTTAATACTTTACAACAAAGTCTTTTGAAATGTACTCAATTAATGCAAACAGAAAAACATGGAGCATTAAATTCTGGCAAACAAATACAACTGAACTGTTGTTGTGTTTGTTACAGTGATAACATTAAACATTCATCAATGACGTTATTTTCCAGGGCCACCTGTCTGGGTTTGGGATAGAAGAGCAGCTGCCAGCTATTGTTATTGTAGCACACTACGATTCCTTTGGTGTGGCTCCTGTAAGACCTATGTTTACATATATTCAAATCCTGTACTCCCCTTATAGAAGTTATTATAATTGTAGCACACTAAGATTCCTTTGATGTAGCTCCTGTAACACCTACATTTATATATCCTTTGTAAATGAAATACTTTGTATGTACCGATCTTTTCCTAATAATTTTGTATCCTTGTAAAAATTACATTTCTGGCTGAGAATTACAATAGACAATGATGCAACTTTTCTTTGAGTTTTCAATTTTTCAATTTTTAAAAAAAACCACTGTATTGTGGTTAAAGAACAACACTCTCCAGAGTTATTTCCCTTTCATTGAGCAAAGAGATATACATGTATATGTTTTGAGAAGTTCATAACATTCATGTTTAAGTATGAAACTTTTTCTTGCAGAGTCTAGCTCAGGGTGCTGACTCCAATGGTAGTGGTGTGATTGCCCTGTTGGAGCTGTCAAGGCTGTTTGCCAAGCTGTTTACGAACTCCCGTACTCATGCCAAATACAATCTCATTTTCCTGTTGTCTGGGGGTGGCAAGTTTAACTATCAGGGAACGAAACGTTGGATAGAGGACAACATTGACTCACCAGGTATGATGTAAAATAAACATGGCATCTAGAAACTGTCAACTTACCAGGAATGCCAGTGTCACAATGATTTCAGGAAACATAATTTTGTTTATTTTTTTTTATAGATAACAGTGGAATTGTTTAGTTTTGATAGTTTAGTTCAGGTTGTATTAACCTGACCGACACCTGTTTAATAGATTGTTTAATTGGGTTGTTGTGTTTTTAACATTTTGTTCTGGTTGTATTAACCTGACTGACTGACACCTGTTTAATAGATTGTTTAATTGGGTTGTTGTATTTTTGATATTTTGTTCTGGTTGTGTTTTTAACATTTTGTTCTGGTTGTATTTTTGATATTTTGTTCTAGTTGTATTTTTAACCTTTTGTTCTGGTGATTTGTTCCTACAGACAGTAACCTACTGACAGACGTGTCCTATGTGCTTTGTCTGGACAGTCTTGGTGATTCAGACCAGCTCTTCCTCCACGTCTCCAAACCACCAAAGGAGGGCACACCAGGACACACCTTCTTAAAGGTAAGATACAGTACAAGGCTTTGTAACTGTTACTAGCAAAAAAGGAAAGTATTTGGGTGTATTGAACTATTCTTAAGATTTATCAATAACAAAAATGTATGTGATGGGAAGTAACTCAAGATGAGAAATAATGTTAAAATATTTCTATTTATATATAATTCGTGAGACATAACTTACAAGCCAAATTATAGAGCAAAGCATCGAGTAGCATTTTATTGCACGACTCTTGCACTGTTGTGGATAATCAATTGGAAGCATTTCCATTTCATAATGTTATTAAGTATAATTAATAAAAAAAAATAAAAACCCATTGATTTGCCTGTGTAATCTGCAGTGTTTATAAAGATATCATCTATTTGTGGTTGACCGTGTGCAGTGTTGGTTAACATGCATTGACATATGTAAAGGACACTAAAAATGTAATGGACCATATTATTTGTTGACAGGACATAAATATCTATGAACTGTCATGCAATGTGATACTAGTACAGATCACATCATATTGAAGTTGTTTTCTGTCTTATGGTTTTGTTTATGTGAAGGATAAGTTTGTTATTAGACACAATATTGTATCATATTTAAACAAGTAAATACGATAATGTTTTAATACAACAATATTACAGGGTATGTCTGTATAGTAACTTCCATCACTCCAATGCCATTGTTACCTAATGTTGTATCATTGTATGGGTTTGATTCCCAAACTCAGTACTGGTGAGATCTTACACAGAATATCAAATATGATGGGGAGAAAACTTCTAACCAATGATAGATATAGAGGTTCCCCAACAAGTGATGGTTGGTTATCATGTTTATCTAACTTGAGTAAGTTCATTTTCAAATTGTATAAAGACACCAGGTTTCTTTTACAATTTGAAAATTAATTAACAAGATTTAGATAAACATGATAACCTATCATCAAGAGTTTGGGGTCCTTTTTTTCCCATAACGTTCATATTTTATCTGGAAAGCCATATGTTTCCCTTGAAAATACACTATGTCTGCTTTCGATGGGGAGAAACAATTGCCATGAATCATGACGTCACAATGGAAAATGACGTCCCAAAGCATTGTGATGTTACATCATAAGTAAACAATTGACCAATGAAATCACGTCCATGGTGTTACCACTAGTGAATAACCAAAAATGTTTACCAACTCCTAGCAGGTTTATCTAATGAATCGGGATTGAGGAAACCTATAGTGGTTGTGGGAGAAAACATATTACAGGCAGATAAAGGCACTGATCTAAAGTGACATACATGTAGCTAACATATTACAGTCAGACAAGGACACTGATCTAAAGTGACATACCTGTAGGTAACATATTACAGTCAGACAAGGACACTGCATATTACAGTCAGACAAGGACACTGATCTAAAGGGACATACATGTAGGTAACATATTACAGTCAGACAAGGGCACTGATCTAAAACGACATACATGTAGGTAACATATTACAGGCAGACAAGGACACTGATCTAAAGTGACATACATACATGTAGGTAACATATTACAGGCAGACAAGGACACTGATCTAAAGTGACATACATACATGTAGGTAACATATTACAGGCAGACAAGGACACTGATCTAAAGTGACATACCTGTAGGTAACATATTACAGTCAGTCAAGGACACTGATCTAAAGCGACATACATGTAGGCAACATATTACAGTCGGACAAGGACACTGATCTAAAGTGACATACATACATGTAGGTAACATATTACAGGCAGACAAGGACACTGATCTAAAGCGACATACATGTAGGTAACATATGACAGTCAGACAAGGACACTGATCTAAAGTGACATTCATGTCGGTAACATATTACAGGCAGACAAGGACACTGATCTAAAGCGACATACATGTAGGGAACATATTACAGTCAGACAAGGACACTGCATATTACAGTCAGACAAGGACACTGATCTAAAGCGACATACATGTAGGCAACATATTACAGTCAGACAAGGACACTGCATATTACAGTCAGACAAGGACACTGATCTAAAGTGACATACCTGTAGGTAACATATTACAGTCAGACAAGGACACTCATCTAAAGCGACATACATGTAGGTAACATATTACAGTCAGACAAGGACACTCATCTAAAGCGACATACATGTAGGTAACATATTACAGGCAGACAAGGACACTGATCTAAAGCGACATACATGTAGGGAACATATTACAGTCAGACAAGGACACTGCATATTACAGTCAGACAAGGACACTGATCTAAAGGGACATACATGTAGGTAACATATTACAGTCAGACAAGGCCACTGCATATTACAGTCAGACAAGGACACTGATCTAAAGAGACATACATGTAGGTAACATATTACAGTCAGACCAGGACACTGATCTAAAGTGACATACATGTAGGTAACATATGACAGTCAGACAAGGACACTGATCTAAAGTGACATACCTGTAGGTAACATATTACAGTCAGACAAGGACACTGCATATTACAGTCAGACAAGGACACTGATCTAAAGCGACATACATGTAGGTAACATATTACAGTCGGACAAGGACACTGATCTAAAGTGACATACATACATGTAGGTAACATATTACAGGCAGACAAGGACACTGATCTAAAGCGACATACATGTAGGGAACATATTACAGTCAGACAAGGACACTGCATATTACAGTCAGACAAGGACACTGATCTAAAGTGACATACCTGTAGGTAACATATTACAGTCAGACAAGGACACTGATCTAAAGCGACATACATGTAGGTAACATATTACAGTCGGACAAGGACACTGATCTAAAGTGACATACATACATGTAGGTAACATATTACAGGCAGACAAGGACACTGATCTAAAGCGACATACATGTAGGTAACATATTACAGTCAGACAAGGACACTGCATATTACAGTCAGACAAGGACACTGATCTAAAGTGACATACCTGTAGGTAAACCGCAATAATTTCTAGAGGATTTAGATTTACAATTAACTCATGCAGTACATGTAGTACATTCATCCTTAATGGAAACTCTGAACATAATAATTCTTGTATTTTTATAGAACCTTGAAGAAGTCATCAAGACCTTTTTCCCAGCGACATCCTTCAAAATGGTGCACAAGAAAATCAACCTAGCAGATGACATGTTGTCATGGGAACACGAACGCTTCAGTGTCAAACGTCTCCCAGCATTCACAGTGTCACATGTGGAGTCCCATAGATCATCCGAAAAAACCACCATCTTGGATACAAGGTTAGCCTCTTGTAGATTTGAACATGGGTGGGGGTTACTATAAGGTACTTTAATTTGTTATTTAGGAATGAAGCGGTCTAATATGATTTATAGAATGGACCATGTAGTGAATCCTGTCCACCTCTATTGTGGAATAATCCTAGTACAAAAGTAATTTTCTTTGTATATTTGATTGTGGAAGTGTTGCCAATTGATAGAAAAATATAGCGTTTTGAGAAAAATGGAACGGGGGAAAATATAAACGAAAAAGAAGAGTCATGAAGTATCCAAAAATGGCTTGAATTTGCAGTTGCACTTTGATTGTTTCTGATGAAATGAACTTTATTGTTTCTGATGAAATGAACCTTATTGTTTCTGATGAAATGAACCTTATTGTTCCTGATGAAATGAACCTTATTGTTCCTGATGAAATGAACTTTATTGTTCCTGATGAAATGAACCTTATTGTTTCTGATGAAATGAACCTTTGCTAACAGTATCTCTTTTTTTACTTCAGAGACACAGTTGACATTCACAAGTTAAGCCAGAACATTCGTGTGGTAGCAGAGAGCCTGGCCAGACACTTGTATAATCTGACAAGCCAGCCTAACCTCAGACTCTTCACAGAAGCACTGGTTAGTCTTACTCAAGTCCTTTAGATATTCTGTGTTACAAGATAATAACTATAACAGCTAAGATATAATTTGTTGCATATTCTGTAATTGCTACAGTGCCTGTGTCAATCTTGTGTATCTCTGAAGGTCAGATCTATTTTTCTTCCGCTCCTTACATGTAAGCTCCTGTGTTTGCTAAAAGGTAAATCTGTCTTTTGCCTACCTAAGGAAAGCATGTCATTTCATCCAGCATTGACATTGTTGGTTTGGCAGATCCATTTGCACAAGTAAGAAACACAAAGTTTAGGTTCAAGAGTTCTCTGACTTGGAGTAATTTGTTTTTGTAGGGAAGAATGTCAGAAAAATTATTTAGTCACACATGTGATGTTGACAGAGAAATCCTATCCCTCTGGATAAGATTCTGTAGATTCAGCTCTTGGCATATCCTCATGCTGGACCTCTAAACTATTTGTCTGGGGTTGAGCTTTTCCTGTCGACAACACATGAGTGAAATATTCTGTGAAGGAGCATTTTCATCATCTAGGTAGACCGTATCTGTACATTAATATAGCTATTAATCATTTTCCAACCAGATGTTTTAATGAAAGTGACCTTGACCTTGTTATATACCATAGTCTTAATTTGTGTGTAACAGGATGTCCAAGAGAGTCTAGTGTCTGCCTGGCTTGACCAGCTCACTGCCCAGCCTCGGGCCATGCAGCTCTTAGCCAAAGACAGCAGCCTGCTCAATACCTTAGAAGAAACCATGAACCGCTATCTCAAAGATGTCCGTCGCACAACTATGAAGGCGGACAAAAGGTGGGCACTGTGAATATACTTGTAGATGTTTCCTGTCTCGGTTACTCAAGTAGAGTAGAATTCCATCACATCATACAACATGTTGTATAAAATGTTTTCCTCAGACCTCAATTTGTTAAAATGGTATTCTCCTCAGAAATGGCTCTTAATGATAAGAAATAGATACAATGAAGAAACTTCCATCTGGACTCGATTAGTTCTGATCACAGCTGGTACAGCCTTTGTCTTCATTTCTTGTTTTTCTTTTAACCAAAATGTTTGATGTTTCCGTCTTTCCACAGAGATCCAGAGTTTATGTTCTACGACGGTGCCACGTACCAGATGAGTGCTTATAAGTAAGTTAACCTTGTATATGTTGGTTGATGTTAGGTCTGGTTATTTACTGAGTCATTCTATTGTATCTCTCTGTCATTCTTTTGTCTGTAAAATCCTTTTCTTGCTGTTTGTCTTCTTGTTTTCTCTGTTAAATCAAAGAACTGAGCTGATAATGTTGACAGCAGTTACTTTTGTCGTAGAAATCTATATAACCGGTTAAATAAATTCATACATTCTATTTGTTATTAACCTTTCTATTTTTCAGTGTAAAACCTGCCATTTTCGACTTGTTCCTGGCTTTGGGAATAGTTGGTTACTTGGCTGTCGTGTACTTTGCAGTATTGGTAGGTGTCAAAAGATTTTTTCACATTTAATTGTAATGACAAATTTTGATGTATTGGGTTTATTAAAGTCCAGAAGTGATTTACCCAAAATAGTTCTGTCCAAAACATGGTCATAAGGTCATTGTATTCACATATCTTAGGATATGTCTTGAAATTGAACACTTCCAGTTTACTTAATAATAACAAAATAAAAACAGCTTTTGATTATTCTCAGACGAAATACTTCACATAAATCTGATCCCATAGACTTACACACATACATATATCATATTAAAGATAAGAATGATTAATTGTTGGTTTATTTTTCAGAATTTCCATTACTTCTATGGAGCTTTACGCAGTGTGACGAGCCCAAAGAGAATGAAAGTGCAGTAGAGATTGAAATGTGTGAGAAAAGGTATACAATAGCAATGTCTTAGGAATTCAATTAAACAAGTTTTCATTTCAAATGACATTGAGATATGAAATGGAAATAAACTCAAATGGAGAACAGTACATTGATGGTCCTTATTCTGAAGTCATAATGTTACTACATCTGAAGTCAGGATAGAAAAGTCATGTTTACATGTCACATTGATATGGAATAAAATAATTTGGGGGGTGGCTTATTGAATGTTCATGTTGTTAGATATAGGTGACCATTCATCTCTTATTCATAATATTCCTTCAGTAAGTACCTACTCCAATACTAGCATTATCTACTTATTGCATTGTCTTCAGTATATATAGCTTTTGTCTACTTTGCCATGATGGTCTGGTCAGATGTTGCATCTATCTATATTGCCGGTACAGACTGCTATAATAATTAGGTTAAAACACAGCTATTGTGTATCTATATCATAATTGTGAGGACTTTTCTTTATAAAAAGGCTACAGACATTCCTTTTCAAATATGATGTTAAAGTATAATACAGTGTATACTCAAAATGACATTTGTATTTTTTCATTTTCAGATTCATCAGCATGCAAGATCTTTTTATAAAGAAGAGTAGGACACAAGAATCTATAAAGAACAAAAGCTTAATATGCAAACAACTTTTTATACGATTTCTAGATAATTGTGTGTGTAATGTAAAAGAAATTCCATTTTATGTGATATGTTTGAATGTCCCTGTCCCCAGAGTTTTTTATTTGCCAAATATTGTGTGTATATTTCAACACGCAATGACTGACAGCATCCATGGTGAAATTCATTAAATAGCTTTCATGTCAAAATTGTTTTAATAACCTATCATGTATGTTGCTTGTAGTTTTGATAATGTAATTTTTGATTTTTTTTAATGAAAAAAATCCAATAAATTAGCTCTTTTGAATTCAAAATTCGAGACATCAATATTGTCAATATTTTCAGGAATAAGAACATATTGATAAACTCACTTTTTTCTCGCTTTAAAAATCCAAAAGTTACACAAGTACTGACCTTCAGCTTTGACCTTAACTATATTTATTGTGATCTGAATAATTCTGAACATCAAATGAAAATGCTGTAAATGCATATTATTTGTTATGAACTAATGCAATGGAAAAAAATCACAGTATTTCAACTTATAGAATTGATTTCACTAGTTGGACTTCCTGGTGCAATGTACATACGCATTAATATAATGTACTGTCATTATTAATAATCAGATACAGGATAATAAGTTATGACATTTTAAAAGGTTTTAGTGACATTAATTGTTCATTAAATTGTTATTTAGGATACTCAAGATTCAAACTTTTTTTTTAGAATACAAATAATTGTTGTAAATGGAATAGGTTGGTGGTTGTATATGTATTCAGTAGATACTATGTTCTGTTGATCAGTTATATAATATTTTCTGTAAATCAGTTATATTGAATATGAATTTCTTTCAATTGGTAATCTAACTTCAATTAATTTTCTATGACATGTTGAAAATAGTGTATATAGCTAACTAAATATTTAAACTTACTGAAGCAGTGGTGTATCCGAACTCCGAGTGGATTTGCCTAAGATCCAAGCTCCATATTAAGTCATCTAATGACTTAGTTTTTATGGTTTTCTTCATTAAGATACTGTTTTGGTTCTGCAAGGTTTTGCTGTTATAACATGAACATCTGCGACTGGAAAAAACATGGTGCGTTCTATCAAACCTATAATCTTGATATAGGATTTAAAGCCTACCCACACTATTTACATGTCTGTATCGCGGTCTTCAGCTGGCAGCTCTATGACGTCTTGGCTCAACTTTAGTTACCATACTTATCATTAGTATAAACTTCAACTATGATATAAAATAATACATGTACACTTTGATATAACAGTAATAAATATACATGTAAATTTTGATATAACAGTAATACATGTACATTTCGGTCCTTTTTTTTTCATTTTCAAAAATATCCAAGATGACTGTCATCATAATTGAAAAGGTTGATTATATCAAAGATAGTGTGATTTTGAACAAAGCCAACATGAAGGAAATACACATACAATTATGGCTCAAGTTCAAATGTGATGTAGAAAAAGACTGCTTTTGTCATAAATAACAATCACTGCAACGAAAATAGATAAAAAATAATATACTCATCAATTTCATTTCATTAAGTGTAAGATCACTATACATGTTAACTACACACATACTGAGAGACTTCAATATTTAACATGAAGAAACCTTATAACATTGATTTTAAGGTTGATTTAGTGTTTTGCGTTCCAAACAGTTGGACTAGAGTTGATCATTTATGAAACGGGGACAGACCTAATGGTTTGATGTGGATCTTGTGACCAGCATTGACAAAGACTTTCAAGTCCTGCATTAACATTTGCAGGTCTGTCAGGTTTTACCCCTGAAATATTACATTTAAAAAAATAGCCTTAACGGTTGATCTGCTTATTTTAAACGAACAAGCCGGAAAATTGTCATGAATGATTTTGAAAGGGATGTTTAAAACCTACAAGATCATGTATTGTGCTTGGTACATTTTTATGGAAATGCGTCCCACCTTTGTTTTAGAATATTCCTCTGTGTGTTTTCTGTTTGTAGGTTATTATATCCTGTTGGTTAATCCAGAATAGCAAACACATTCAGGGATTGTTACTCTTTTTGTTTGATTCCGATTTCTGTACCCAGTTGTATAGTGTGTTTAGTGTATTAACCAATAGGTAATAAAGTGACCTTGAGATGATCTCCTGTCTAAAGTACTACACTCGTTTGTCTTCCTTCATCAATGTCTGTCTCTAAGGTTACAGTTCATGCTATCTTTAACAAGCTTCAGGATGACGTATACTACCATTGAATTATTCAAATTGAAGATCGATGATAATATATAGATTGTACAGTTACAGTAAAACCTCTTTATATTACAATCAATTATTTAGTCAAATCTTGGCATTATAAAGAGGATTTATATCATATTCAGGGAGACGTGTAAAGGAATTGGGGGGGGGGGGGGAAAAAT